CCTCGCTTGGGAGCGGGTGGACCCTGCGGGGCGGCATCTGCACCCCCCGTGCGGGCCTCGCCAGCTTCCCTCGCCTCTCCCGGTCGTGTGGAGTGTTGACACGGACAGTGCCCGGCCTGGGGGCCTTGGTCTGTCAGCTCTCAGAGCGGGGGTATGTCCAGGTGCCCAGTCCTGGGCACTGGCGCTGCTGTGGGTGGGGGGCCTGCGGCTGCTGGCCACACCTCAGCCCTCGGGGCTCTGGTCAGCCTCCTGCAGGTGCCACATGACTGGCCTGCCATATTGCCGGCCTTCCCATCCCACCCGCTTGACCCTCAGGACTGTTTCTTCATTTCATTGTTGCTATACTTACGGTCGTTTTGAGAGAGGAGGAGCCAGAAGACCTCCAACTGCTGGTCTGTTGTCCAGATGACCACCACAGCTGGGGCTGAGCTGAGCTGAACACGCAATCCTGGGGTCCCTCCTGAGGGGCGGCACAGCGCTGGAGCTGTATGCCTGCTGCCGACACCCGGAGCACAGCCAAGGGCCGTGTGCCGTCGTGTGGGGTGTCCGTGTGCCGTCGGGTGGGGTGTCCGTGTGCCCTCGGGTGGGGTGTCCGTGTGCCGTCGGGTGGGGTGTGCGTGTGCCCTCGGGTGGGGTGTCCGTGTGCCCTCGGGTGGGGTGTGCGTGTGCCCTCGGGTGGGGTGTCCGTGTGCCGTCGGGTGGGGTGTCCGTGTGCCCTCGGGTGGGGTGTCCGTGTGCCGTCGGGTGGGGTGTGCGTGTGCTGTCGGGTGGGGTGTCCGTGTGCCCTCGGGTGGGGTGTCTGTGTTGCAGGCCAGCGTCTGTGGGTTCTGACCAGCGCAGCGTGGGCTGAGGGCATGTCTGTGTGGTGATGGGCTCAGAACACTGGGCCAGACACCCACCCGGCCGGGGGTGTTTTACAAAGCTAGTGTCGATGGTGTAGCCTTGAGCGTATTTTGACTGTTGAGCCGGAGCAGGGCTCTGGGGGACTGGGGGGCTTCTGGGGCCTTTGAGGGCCACACCTGTGTGAGGCAGCAGGGACGCCTCCATCCCAGGAGTGCTTGTTGATCTGGAATCCAATCCGTCCCTCTCTCTTTCGAAACAAGTGCCTGTTGAGGCAGGCTTCCGCTTTCCCTGGCCTTTGAACCGGCAGGTCTTAAACCCAGTTCTGGTGTCTCCTGCCCCTGAGGACAGGCCTGCCGTGGCTGTGGGCTCCCTCTCCCTGGGCCTGTCCCCCAGCTGTCCCCCAGCTGTCCCCCAGCTCGGGACACCTGCTCACTGAGACTGTCAGATGCCAAGCAAAATGTGCTGTCCGCGTCTTCCTCCGCTTGAAGAGCTTGTGCTAAGCCGTGAGTCAGCCCAGGAGATGCCTTCCGGAGGCTGCCTGCGCCCGCTCCACGTGTAGTGTACCCCTCCTGTCTTCCCCCTGGTGGCGTGGGTCTCACGTGACCCCTTCACGCGTGTGCTTCCTCTGCTCAATGCAGTCCCTGCTCTCTGCCCCCTGCCTGGTGTGTGTGTTCTGTGCTCAGGACCCTGGCCCCAGCCTGGCCCTGGCGCCTGCGGGGCGTGCCTGTGCGCTGTCCTTGCGCAGGCCCGGGGTTCTGAGCTGCTGAGCTACCACAGGCAGTGACCCACGGGCTTCTTGGAGATGCTCCCTTAGACAGTGGGGGCCTTGTCGTTAGTATTTGGGTTTCTTTGATTCTTTTTTTGTTGTTTTTTCTAAAATGCCATCATGAGTGCCCAAACTGACCCACGAATAGGGCTTCAAAAGCCCTGTTGCCTGCGGTGGACGCAGAAGCAGCCACGTGAGGGGCGATGTGTGTGATGTATTTGACTGCCAAGCCCATAAGTTTAACATGGGCCTTGCTCCCGCGTGGGGACACTCTGCTGGATGCCTGGGTGCAGAAGGGACTCCGCAGCCGAGTGACTGGCCACGTGTTCACTTACTCACTCCGTGGGCGAGAGGCAGAGAGGGCGGTCAGGCACAGGGTGTGTGTGTCTGTATCTGCTGGCTTCTTCCTCCACAGCCAGGCATGGGTGTGTGTCTGTGTGTGTGTGTCTGCTGGCTCCCTCCTGTGTGTGTGTGTGTGTGTGTGTGTGTCTGCTGGCTCCCTCCTGTGTGTGTGTGTGTGTGTGTGTGTCTGCTGGCTCCCTCCTGTGTGTGTGTGTGTGTGCGTGTGTGTGTGTCTGCTGGCTCCCTCCTATGTATGTGTCTGTGTGTGTCTGCTGGCTCCCTCCTGTGTGTGTGTGTCTGTGCGTGTATGTGTGTGTCTGCTGACTCCCTCCTGTGTGTGTGTGTGTCTGTGTGTGTGTGTCTGCTGGCTCCCTCCTGTGTGTATGTGTGTGTGTGTGTCTGCTGGCTCCCTCCTGTGTGTGTGTCTGTGTGTGTGTGTGTCTGCTGGCTCCCTCCTGTGTGTGTGTGTGTGTGTGTCTGTGTCTGTGTGTGTCTGTGTGTGTGTGTCTGCTGGCTCCCTCCTGTGTGTGTGTCTGTGTGTGTGTGTGTCTGCTGGCTCCCTTCTGTGTGTATGTGTGTGTGTGTGTGTGTGTGTGTGTGTGTCTGCGTCTGCTTGCTCCCTCCCCTGAGGCCGGGATGTACAGCCCAGCCAGGGTCTGTGCCATGTGTGACAGGCACCTTGCCTCCTGGGCTGCCCATCACAGGGAGCTGTTATTGCAAGCACAGCTGGGACCCACATCCAGCAGCTGGGTGTGGTGTGGGTGGTCCCAAATAGTGCCAGTCACTGCACCAAACCCCCATGCCAAATGGCAGTGTCTGTGTCTATGCCTTCTCTGACTTGGTGCGCTGAATTCAGGGTGCAGTTTCTGTCACCGCTGAAAGCTTTTCCTTAGACTAAGCATGAACAGCGAAATTGCCTCCGATTCTTGTCTGTGTGTGCGGTGTGAATTCTTTCGTGAGAGATACAGCTGCACAATGCTGTGCTGGGCCTCCAAGCCAGCCTCCCTGCTCCTCCATGGGGCTGGCGGGCGCTGGGCCCTGCACTGCATGTCGGGTGTGCGTGCTGCCTGACAAGCGTTCGCCCCAGGGAGCGGAGAGCTGATCCCGGGCTGGCAGTCAGGCGCTCGCTGCTCCGATTGCGGCGTCTCATGCCTGTGCTGGCTGCTCTTGGCAGGGCTCCTCTTTAGGTGTTCTGCCTGATGCTGTTGCTGAAAGGTTGCAGTATGCACCGCCCAGCCTCCCGGCCCTCAGGTGTGCTGGCTTTCCAAACGTCTCCGGAGCTGCCCATCTTCCTGTGGACAAGGAAGGGAGCCCAGGGATTCCAAGCAAGGGCTTTTTGGAGCTTGTTCTCAGACCTGTCTAGCCTGCAGGGCCACACTTCACCCTTAGGACTGGATCCAGAGCGTTTCAGGCCTGCTCCAGGACCCTCAGAAGAGGGGCTGGGCTCGCTCGAGCAGGCTGCCATGGAGGGGTTCCCACAGGCCCCAGCGTGGGCTGCCTGTGTCATGGGGCGAGACACTACCTGGCAAGCCTGTCACCCTGGCTGTACAAGGATGCATGCCGCGTAACCGCAGAGGGCTAACTGGACACTGGCCTGCATACTTTGCGCCCCGTGTCTTTGACTCACCAGGACGGGCCCAGGAGGCATGGAGCGCTTTGTGTCTCCCAGGCTCCAGTGGGGTGTGGCGGGTCTCACATTGTCCCTCAGTGCGAAGGCTGGTGACAGCCAGGCTCTGCACCAAGGCTTGCTGGTGCCGGTGAAGCAGTGGCTGTGCGACTGGTGTGGGGTCAATGCCAAGATGTTTGAGTCCGGGAGCCAACAAGCCTGTTTGGTCAGTTTCTGATGAGCGTGGGTCATTCTGATGTGGTAATGGGCCCATTTTACAGGCTTCTGATCTGGTCCACCCCAGTGGGCGGGACTGCTCAGCCTACGCACTCCCTGCTCATAAGAACCTTGGCTTTGAGGAAATTCTTGCTTTGTGGAAGCCTCTCAGGCCTGTTTGTCAGAGGTTTTACCAGCAGCCCTGCTGACAGCCCCGTCAGCCGAGTCCACACGCACAGCCAGGTCCTGGCGGCACGGAGGCTGGGGTATAGCCACCACCACGTGGAAGGCCTTTCGTCAGGAACAGCTGTGGCTCCGTGGGCTCCCCCACACAGAGTCCTCTGCAGCAGTGTCCCTCCCAGCGGTGTGGCCCCGAGAGCAGGGCCTGGAGTGGGCACAAGACAGTGCCAGGGTTGGTGTTTGGTTTTGCGGAGATCTCAGCCCTACTTTGAGCCCTGCCCCGGTCGCACCCTAAGCCATGTTCTTGGTTTGTAACAAGCCTTGATACCGGTCACACACGGAGCCCTGATCTGGATCACACAGGTTGCCTAGGGCATACACCAGGCTCTGTGCTGTAGGCCCTGACCATGTACCCTAGACGTTGGTCACATGGCCTGGCCCTGTGCCCTAGGCCCCAGTCCTGGCTGCACGGAGACTGGGGGCACACGTGCAGCCCGGCCCTGGGCACGCAGAAGCTGGGGGCACACGCGCAGCCTGGCCCTGGGCACGCAGAGGCTGGGGGCACACACGCAGCCCGGCCCTAAGCGCACGCATTGTTCAGAAACGGCACTTTGCTTGTCCTCATCCCGTGGACTGTGGCTCACCAGGTGTGACTTGGCATTGGAAGTGGTAGTTCTGGGACAGACTCGTGGCCAGGCTGTTAGGCTGCTCTCATGTCTCCGTGCTAAGCAGATCAGCAGTTTGAAGTGATGGTCTCCCAGTTTGCAGTGGCCTTTATGGTGATCAGTGACAATGGGGCATGTTCAGAAGACAAAGCTCTCCGTCTCCCAGAGACATGTATGTGGGCTCTTGACAAAGGCCTTCCCACTGCCAGGGTCGGTGCCCTCTGCCCGGGAGGCCTGGCCCAGCTGCAATGTTCCCTTTGGGGTCACAGGGAGGCCTGGCAGGACGTCCTGGGGCCACTGCGGGGCTGTGCGTGGTGAAGTGAGCCTCCTGCTTTGGGAGGGCGTTGTTAGCCCAAAGTCATCTCTGCTTTCTCTGTCCTAGGAATATGAAGACAAGGCTGGAAGAGCTAGCAGGCCGCCCTCCCCCAAGCAGAATGTGAGGAAGAACCTTGACTTTGAGCCACTGTCCACCACGGCGCTCATCCTCGAGGACAGACCAGCGTGAGGCGTGGGGCGGGCGTGGGCTTGGGCAACGAGGCGTGGGGTGGGCTTGGGCAGCGAGGCGTGGGGCAGGCGTGGGCTTGGGCAGCGAGGCGTGGGGCAGGCGTGGGCTTGGGCAGCGAGGCGTGGGGCGGGCGTGGGCTTGGGCAGCGAGGCGTGGGGCGGGGGTGGGGCGGGCGTGGGCTTGGGCAGCGAGGCGTGGGGCGGGCGTGGGCTTGGGCAGCGAGGCGTGGGGCGGGGGTGGGGCAGGCGTGGGCAGCGAGGCGTGGGGCGGGCGTGGGCTTGGGCAGCGAGGCGTGGGGCGGGGGTGGGGCGGGCGTGGGCAGCGAGGCGTGGGGCGGGCGTGGGCTTGGGCAGCGAGGCATGGGGCGGGCGTGGGCTTGGGCAGTGAGGCATGGGGTGAGTGTGGGCTTTGGCAGCGAGGCGTGGGGTGGGCGTGGGCTTGGGCAGCGAGGCATGGGGTGGGCGTGGGCTTGGGCAGCGAGGCGTGGGGCGGGCATGGGGCTTGGGCAGCTTGGCCTTGGTGAAGAGTGCGTAGGGTCAGGACGGGGCGGGGGAGGCGCCCCGACCCCTGCTTCTGGGGCCACACTCACTTGTATTCTGCTTGATACGGAATGGCTGACTTGACAAAGTACCTGCCAGGTTATTAGCCTGCAAGCTTTGCTAGCCAGAAAAGCCTGGGGTCTCCGTTCAGGTGGTTTACCCTAGTAAGTTGGCACCCTCGGGTGCCCGGGTAGCTCTTCTGGAAAGGTGCTGTGTGGCGAGTATCTTGGGGATACACTGGTGCTGTAGGAACGCTCCTACGGCAGCCCCCGCTTTACACAGGCTGTGGGTGACCCTTGGACTGGGGGCATGCAGCTCTGAAAGAAGGAGGTTGCATCCGGCAGTCGCTGCATCACACCTGCTCCTAGCTGGCCGAGGGCCGAGCTGGGATACAAGGTCTCTCACTGCAGAGAAGGGACGGAAAAGGGAATCGTAAAGCGTGGGGCCTGTTGGCTTCGCCGGCCCTGAAGCTTTGCGTTGGAGAAAATGCAAGCGGTGCTATTGGAAGGAATCTATCCTCTACGATTTCTTACTCCTCGAAAAGCCATGTAAAGGGGGGTTCCTGCCAAGTGAGAGGGCCCGTGGTCTGTGGGGAGCAGAGTGTCCGGGGTGCCCTGCAACTGTGGACTGCGGGGTGCTGCTCCCTTCCCAGGAATCTGGGACACCTCAAGTCCTCACATGGTTGAAAGAGCCTTGTGTTTTGTCGTCTTTTTAGATGGGGCTTGAAGGGGACATCGCATTGTTTCAGAAGCTGCATATTTAAAACATCATGCAGTACACAAGCTCCCAGATAACGTGAAAAACCTGACCAGGAAGTGCTGCCAGATGTCTGTGTCAGGGCCTGCGCTGGCGAGGCATTGCTCAGGGAGTTAGCCGGGGCTGCTTGTCAGGAATGCTTTGGGGTGCAGGCAGTGTGTGGGGATAGAGGCGCAGTGAAGGGTGGTTCATCTGCAGTGTGTGGGGATGGAGAGGCGCAGTGAAGGGTGGTTCATCTGCAGTGTGTGGGGATAGAGACGCAGTGAAGGGTGGTTCATCTGCAGTGTGTGGAGATAGAGGCGCAGTGAAGGGTGGTTCATCTGCAGTGTGTGGGGGATAGAGGTGCAGTGAAGGGTGGTTCATCTGCAGTGTGTGGGGATAGAGGCGCAGTGAAGGGTGGTTCATCTGCAGTGTGTGGGGATGGAGAGGTGCAGTGAAGGGTGGTTCATCTGCAGTGTGTGGGGATAGAGGCGCAGTGAAGGGTGGTTCATCTGCAGTGTGTGGGGATGGAGACGCAGTGAAGGGTGGTTCATCTGCAGTGTGTGGGGATGGAGAGGAGCAGTGAAGGGTGGTTCATCTGCAGTGTATTATTTTTCACACTTCTCTATAATTTATTAACAACATCTATTTTTTTTTAACTTTTTATTTCCTTTTTTTTTTTACAACATCCTATAGTTTTTAACTCTTATCATATAATTTATTATACAACATATTTTTATTTTCTAATCTTATATATTTATGATCCACTTCATTTTATATTTCTCAGATTAGCTATCATTGATTTACAACATCCTTATATTTTCATTATCTTTTCATTTACTTTTGTAACAACATCATATTTATTTATTATCTTATCCATATCCTTTTTTTACATCAACCTTTATATTTTCACTAGTATCATTTCATTTTGGATAACATCAGTTGATTGTTAATATTATCCTTTCCTTTTTAACAACATACCATTTTTTTTATTAGATTTTAGTGAAGTTTGAGGTTATAGCAGCTTTGTGTTGTATTGAGCGTTGAGTGACGGGTTTTCAACATCAGGGGAGTGCGGTATAGCTTCTCATTTAATTTTTGTTCATCTTCTTTTATTTTTTTAATGTATATGCTCATTTAATTGTTTTTCATCTTCATTTGTATTTGGAAATATTCTCCTTTAATTTTTTAACTCTTCTTTTTTATTTTTATCTGAGCCGTTACTTTATGTAATCAATTCATAATGAGTTTCATTATCTTACTCCTATCCTTTTTTAACAAATCATTAATGTTTTAACTATTAGCGATACTTTTATTTCAAATCCTTTTTATTTTTAAATATTATCAGTTATTTTTAACACTTCCTATATATTTCTTTCTATTTTCATTTAATTTATTTTATCTTCAGAGTTTTTTGTATAGATCGTCAGTGTAATGTATGTTCAACATCAGATGTGTTTTGATGGAAGCTTCGATGAAGGTGGTTCATCTGCAGTGTGGGGATGGAGAGGTGCAGTGAAGGGTGGTTCATCTGCAGTGTGGGGATGGAGAGGAGCAGTGAAGGGTGGTTCATCTGCAGTGTGTGGGGATAGAGGAGCAGCGAAGGGTGGTTCATCTGCAGTGTGTGGGGATAGAGGTGCAGTGAAGGGTGGTTCATCTGCAGTGTGGGGATAGAGGCGCAGTGAAGGGTGGTTCATCTGCAGTGTGTGTTGATGGAGAGGCGCAGTGAAGGGTGGTTCATCTGCAGTGTGTGGGGATGGAGAGGTGCAGTGAAGGGTGGTTCATCTGCAGTGTGTGGGGATGGAGAGGTGCAGTGAAGGGTGGTTCATCTGCAGTGTGTGGGGATAGAGGAGCAGTGAAGGGTGGTTCATCTGCAGTGTGTGGGGATGGAGAGGTGCAGTGAAGGGTGGTTCATCTGCAGTGTGGGGATGGAGAGGTGTAGTGAAGGGTGGTTCATCTGCAGTGTGGGGATGGAGAGGTGCAGTGAAGGGTGGTTCATCTGCAGTGTGGGGATGGAGAGGTGCAGTGAAGGGTGGTTCATCTGCAGTGTGGGGATGGAGGTGCAGTGAATGGTGGTTCATCTGCAGTGTGTGGGGGATAGAGGCGCAGTGAAGGGTGGTTCATCTGCAGTGTGTGGGGGATAAAGGAGCAGTGAAGGGTGGTTCATCTGCAGTGTGTGGGGGATAGAGGTGCAGTGAAGGGTGGTTCATCTGCAGTGTGTGGGGATAGAGGCGCAGTGAAGGGTGGTTCATCTGCAGTGTGGGGATAGAGGTGCAGTGAAGGGTGGTTCATCTGCAGTGTGTGGGGGATAGAGGCGCAGTGAAGGGTGGTTCATCTGCAGTGTGTGGGGGATAAAGGAGCAGTGAAGGGTGGTTCATCTGCAGTGTGTGGGGGATAGAGGTGCAGTGAAGGGTGGTTCATCTGCAGTGTGTGGGGGATAGAGGTGCAGTGAAGGGTGGTTCATCTGCAGTGTGTGGGGGATAGAGGTGCAGTGAAGGGTGGTTCATCTGCAGTGTGTGGGGATGGAGAGGAGCAGTGAAGGGTGGTTCATCTGCAGTGTGTGGGGATGGAGAGGTGCAGTGAAGGGTGGTTCATCTGCAGTGTGTGGGGATGGTCATTAGGGTTCAGCCGATGTGCATGCTGCATTTATTTTACATTCGTAAGAGAGAGATCCTGAGGTTCATAAGACATGTGGAATCTTAACAAATTTACTTTTTGGTCTGTGAGCTTCACACTTGTGAATAGCTAATGCTTTTGGTGTCCCCTCCCAGCTTCAAACTTTTTGTTTTTTTAAGATTTACTTATTTTTTATTGGGAAGTCAGATTTTACAGAGGAGAGACAAAGATCTTCCATCCACTGACTCTCTCCCCAAGTGGCCACAATGGCTGGAGCTGAGCCGATCCAAAGCCAGAGCCGGGAGCTTCTTTGAGGTCTCCCATGCAGGTGCAGGGTCCCAAGGCTTTGGGCCGTCCTCGACTGCTTTCCCAGGCCACGAGCAGGGAGCTGGATGGGAAGCAGAGCAGCTGGGACACGAACTGACGCCCATATGGGATCCTGGCACATGCAAGGCAAAGACTTTGGCCACCAGGCTACCACGCCGGCCCACCTCAATCGTTTTGATTAAATGTTTGTAACAGTCCCCGTGCATGATTTCCTGTGCAGAAACCTGCCCGCGAAGCCCGCCGACGAAGCGCAGAGGCACAGGCAGCAGTACGAGGAGATGGTGGTGCAGGCCAAGAAGCGAGGTAATGGCCCGGAGCTGGCAGGGCGGTGTGCCGCGGGGCGGGAACTGGTGGCCCAGGGGTCCCCAGAGGTAGGCAGCACCAGGATCTTGTTAGTAGTTTGTCACTTAAACTTTCCCATCGGATATGCATGTCTTTGCTCTCCATTTCCAGTTGCTTTCACCCGAGGTAACACTTTGAACCTAAGTGAGAATGGAGACTGAGTTAGCAACCAGAGCTGGGCTGGCTTCAGGTGGTTGTCATGGGCAGAGTCTGTTGTCTGTGTCTGATTTCTCTGTTCACCAGCTGAACGGCACCTGCAGTGGAATGCGCGTGTGTAGGATGGATAGCAGCTTACAAAGGAAGGTCATTCCACAAGGGCTCCGACAGGGCTGGACCTGGAAGACGTTCTGCTGAGTGCACTGAGCCAGACTCAGAGGGCCAGGGCGGTCACAGGAGGTTCCCTGACTGGCAGACAGCTGGGCAGAAAGTGGGCACAGGCTCGCCTGGGGCTGGCTACATGGGGGCTCAGCATGCGAAGCTGCAGGCAGTGGCCCTGGCCGCCTGGCCGTGTGGATGTGCTTACCAACGTGGACTTGTGCTCCCAGTGTTGTCGGTATAACTTGGGCATAGTTTGCCACAGCCATCCCTGGCAGGCCTCTCCTGCCACCCAGAGGGTATGGAATCCGCAAGGACACCCTGTCTGCATGTTGCCCACACGTGTCTTGTGTGCCCGGGCCTCCTGCAGGCCGCCCACAGCGTGCCATGCCGAGCTCAGCTGCTGCCAGGTGGTTTTGTTGAGGAGACGGTGGGCGATGAGTGCAGGTGTCGGATACAGGTAGAGGTGGGCAGCATCTCCATGCGACGGTGCTGGGTGACAGGGCCTGTCGAAGCTGGGGGCGTTTCTCGGAGTGGCTTTCTGTGTATGGAGAGGACTGCTTAGGCTCTGAGCAGTCCCTGGGTCAGCCTTTCTGTACCGCTGGAATCGTGTTTGGGGCTGTCATGCTGCTGAGGCCCCAAGTGTTCTGAGGTGCCCAGGGTGGGGAGAGCCCCGGGAGTCGTCCCTCGTCCAGGGCCATCTTGCTCTCCTCGCCTGACATGGTGGGTGCCCGCACCAAGTGTTTTCTTCTCTTTGATCATGATTTGTAGAGCTGAAAGAAGCTCAGAGGAGGAAGAAGCAGCTGGAGGAAAGGTGCAGAGTGGAGGAGAGCATCGGCAACGCCGTCCTCACCTGGAACAATGAGATCCTCCCCAACTGGGAGACCATGTAAGGCCGGTCGCCTGCCGCGGGCATCTCCCGCTCCTAGGTGCTCCGGGTCTGTTCTGGGTGCCGCCTACCTGCACTGCTCGTCACTGCTCACCAATCTGTGCTGCCTCAGTGCTTTGAAATGTCCCCAGCGTCCTGTGGCTCTCAGTGTGAGCTCTGACCTCCTGAGCTGGCAGAAAAGGCCACCCTGCCCTCTGCTGCCCTGCTTCCTCCCCTGCCATGTACCCACAGCTCGCCATTGTCCCTTCCAGCCCAGGGCCAAGGCAGTCTCCTCTCCCTGGGCCTGCACTGGCACCTCTGCCACATCAAACCCCTGTGTGATCTGGGAGCTTCAGTCTTGGTCCTGATAAGAACCTGTGGGTTCTCTGGCCATCTCTCCCTCTGTCTGAGAACAGTGTCCTCTGATGCTGAGCCCTGGGGTCATTACTGAGTGTGCATCCAGCACATCAGGACCGTGCACAGGGGTGAACAGGGAACTGTGGGCTGGCCGCTGAGTGTGCATTCAGTACATCAGGACCGTGCACGGGGCGAGTGGGAACTGTGGGCTGGCCGCTGAGTGTGCACTCAGTACATCAGGACCGTGCACAGGGGCGAACAGGGAACTGTGGGCTGGCCGCTGAGTGTGCACTCAGTATGTCAGGACCGTGCACAGGGGCGAGTGGGAACTGTGGGCTAGCTGCTGAGTGTGCACTCAGTACATCAAGACCGTGCACAGGGGCGAGTGGGAACTGTGGGCTAGCCGCTGAGTGTGCACTCAGTATGTCAGGACCGTGCACAGGGGCGAGTGGGAACTGTGGGCTAGCTGCTGAGTGTGCACTCAGTACATCAGGACCGTGCACAGGGGTGAGTGGGGAACTTCAGGCCAGCCAACCTTCTGCTCTCCTGCGTGTTGGAGTGCCGGGACTTGCTTCTGAACCCCATGGCATCGTTCGTGTCTCTCGGTGGGCCAGGGAGCCCTGCTGTGGTCTCTCCCAGGAGGACACGCCATCCTCAGCCTCCTCTCCCAGGCAGCTTCCCTAGGAGGCTGGCACTTCCAGGAAGTACTGCCAAACAGAGATCCTCTCCCATGCCCGTGTCCCTGCCTGGAGGGTCCAGCCCGGCCCTGGTTTGTCCTGTCCTGTCCCCGTGTCCTCCAGCTACCACTTGACGTGTGTGGCTGTGCCAGGCTCCTGCACTGTCCCCTCACTGAGTCCTCACAGCTGTCCTGGAAGGAGGCATCCCCATGGACTTTAGGGAGGTCGGAGCAGGTGCCAGAGCAGGCTGACCTTCTATAGGCTCGGCAGGCAAGGGTGGAGCTAGGCCACTGCTGGCTTCTGCGGCTTGGAGCCTGTGCTTCCCTGTGCGGGGTGCAGGCAGCTCCGGGGGAGTGTGGTGCTGTTGGATGCTTTAGGCTGTGTGTCTGTGTGACCGGCAGATCCTTGAGACTGCCTGGTTCTGAGGGTCCTGAACCCCTAGAGGGCCCCTCTGCCATTGGGGTTAGCCTGCAGCTCACCCTGGGGAGCCCCCCTGTGCGCAGTCCTGCATCCTGGTACTTGTCACCCACACCCCACCCCAGACACATCCTGTGGGAGGGCAGCAGCCCCTTCCCTTCCTTCATGTGCCCATCCTTCCCTCGGCTTGGGGCCAGGGCCCTGTGCCCTGTTTGGGGTGCTCTCTGCTGTACTGTCCCCTTCTCCCTGTCATAGCTGCTGCAGAAGGTGCCGCTTGGTCTCCTTGCCCTGGGATGCTGGGTGTTGTACTCCCCAAGGCAGGGGCCGTGAGGGACACAGCTGCAGGCCCCTGGCTCCTGTGGTGTGTAGATCTTCCTGGGAACAGACTCGTACACTCACACCTGTCTCTGTCCAGGTGGTGCTCTAGGAAGGTTCGAGATCTGTGGTGGCAAGGAATCCCTCCAAGCGTCCGAGGCAAAGTCTGGAGCTTAGCCATCGGCAACGAGTTAAACATCACCCACGGTGAGTGACTGGCATGGCTCCAGGTTTGCGGTGCGTCCCTGGGCCTCGCGGCCTCTCCTGCCCTAATGGGGAGAGCTGGGGCTGCCGCTGCCAAGCTGTGCCTTTAAACATGCCGGTTGCCAGTGTCTGCCCCAGGACGGGGGCAGCTGGGAGGCCTGGGCTCAGCCACTTGAGAGCCAGACAGACAGGGAGCTCCTGTTTGGGTCCCCCATTCCTTGATGGGGTCTGAAGTGCAGGACAGGTGCTCCGTGCTGTTTCAGGAGGTGGAGGCTGCGCTTAGATCTCCAGCCTTCTGTTGGGCATTGCAGAGGTGTCTGAGTGCCGTGCTGGAAGCTGCCTTCTGGGTCATATTGTGCTGCATCTGCCCATCCTGTGTGTGTCTCCCAGAACCTGGATTCGTCCCCCTGGGCACCCCCAGTGCTCCGCAGGGTTGGTGCATTCCAGGCCTCACAGCTCACACTAGGCACCCAGCATGTGCTGAGCATCCCGCCCGCCCTGCCTTCTTTGTGTGCAGGACAGGCCTTTCTGCTCTTCTTCCTGGACGGGCCCTGGACCTGACTGTGACCGCGGTGCTGGCGCTGTGCTGGCGTGCACCTCTGGTCCCTCCAGCTGCACAGCTCCAGCTGGAGGGCAGGCTCCACCTGGTGAGGGTTTCCCAGGCAGCTGCAGCCTGCAACTGGGGCCGTCCCTTCTGCACAGTGTGCCCAGCATGATGCTTGCCCACCCAGTGTCTCCAGGCCCCAGGAGGTGTGGGCCTTTCCGTGGTTGATTCTGTAGGGGTTCCCTGGTCACTGCTCGGGATCTGGCAAGTATCCATTCCCCAGGTGGGGTCTGACGCCCATGCCGAGGCTTCCCTCCATGCGTGTGCATAACGTGAGCTCTGCTGTGTGTCCTGGCTGAGTGCTCATGAATGTTTGTTCCACAGGGAATGATTGTACATACACTGGCAACAACATACAAGAACACTTAATATGTATGTTTAAACAAAAACCAGCCTTCTAGTTGAGGTTTCTGTGTCTGGAGACCAGCTCAGCCTCTTACCAGAAGCCTGACTCAAGCAGTGACTGCACCTGCCTGAGTGGAGACTCACTTCTCAGCAGTGGTGCATGGTGCAGGGAACCTCCTAGAAGCCTCGTTTGTGACTAACACCCCGCCGCCCCCCCCCACACGCCAGGAGTCTGCTCTGACCTTGACTTACGAAAAGACAGGTCATGAGATGTAATTCCATCGACAGCCCATCCAGTCGTACCACGCACGGTGCCTTGCGTGTCTGTGTGTGCTTAACTTGTGGCTCTCCCCAATTCCCCTGGTCAATGTCAGTCAGCCTGTGGGACCCATCATGGTAAACCAGGAAAAAGAGTTCATCCTTCGTGTACCCTTTTTGTGTCTGCCTGCTGTGACCGATGTCCCGCTTGAACTGTGGCCTCATGTGCTTTCTGCTCTGGCAGCTGTGCCCTGTTGTGGAATGGGCAGATCGCACTGCCAGGCCAGCATCAGGACAGGATGAGCCTGGATTCTGGTGCCAGGCCTCATCATAGGTTCTCTCCTCATGTGTCGTGGGGGTGGGTGTGGTGGTCTCAGTCTCCTCCTGAGAAGGTTCATCATCCTGGCAAGGTTGGGGACTGGGTTGCAGTTCCTGTGCCTGGGCTGCACTTTCTGTCCCTGGCCTGCAGTTCCTGTCCCTGAGCTGCACTTCCTGTCCCTGGCCTGCAGTTCCTGTCCCTGAGCTGCACTTCCTGTCCCTGGTCTGCAGTTCCTGTCCCTGGGCCCCAGTTTCTGTCCCTGAGCTGCAGTTCCTGTCCCTGGCTGGCAGAACCTGTGCTTGAGCTGCAGTTCCTGTCCCTGAGCTGCATGTGTGGGAGATGCTGGTTCCAGTCCCAGCTGATTCTGGCTTGGCGAGCCTGGTAGCATTGCTGCAGCTTCTTCCTTCTCAGGGAAGCCTGACTTACACTCTGCATGTGGCTTGGAGTCTGCAAAGAGGGTGTGGTAGCTGTTCTCACCATCCCCACGGCACACTCCACTCACCCTTGGGGGTGGTGTTCTGTGCCCAACTACCAGCCTCTGCTTTCGCTGTCAGATGCCCCGTTGGGGAGGTGGCTTACCAGCAGGCCCGGGACACATGGCTGTTTGAGTCCATCTCCTGGCACAGCAACTGGAACGTGGCCTCCTGGAAGGCGAGTAGGCATGTCCTGCCAGGTGCCCTGACCCCCGAGCTCCGAAAACCCCACACAGAAGCCTGCAGCAGCCAGGTCTGAAGCAGGAACTCTGAGGTCTCCACAGGGTGGCAGGTCACCGCGGCCTTCGCGGGGTGGGGCTCAGAGGTGTGAGGACTGCCAGCGTTGCCAGTGGCAACCAGACCTACTGCATTCCTCACCTGTCCCGCTCTGTGTCTGTTCTTGGAGCGCGGGTGGAATAGTGCTTCCTGGGAGCAGTGTAGGAGGTTGCCCCACGATGTGAGCTCAGGTTGTAATTTGCTTCCTAAGCACAATCAAGATCTTACACGTTGGCGTCTAACAGTGAGACTGGAGTTGGAATTGCATTGTCAGGAAAAGGCGTTACTGCTCTGAAGGGCAATGTGTCGTGCTTTGTTTTCCAAATGCAACGATGAAAGGGAAAGCAAAGTATCAAGATTTTAAGGGTAGCTTTGATGAAAGTGGCCGAATTGACTAGGACCCGGAGGGGCCTGGGCTGGGTGGGGTGCATGGCTGTCACGGGCGGTGGAGCTTTGTGGCTGTTGGAAAATGTTTGCATGTAGGCTGCCGATTTTCCTGCTGATTTGAGATGCAGATAGACCGTGCACAGAGAGCTGTCCTCCCTGGCCCCAGCCCACATTGATGACCGGAGCCAGGAACTCACCTCAGGCTCCATGCCTGGGTGGCCCAGCCCCGCTTCCCAGTGTCTGCACTTCCTGGGAGCTGCCGCTGAAGCCGAAGCCAAAGCCGAGCACTCCAGGGCAGGGCTCCTTCCATGACCCCTCACTGCTGCGCTGAAGGCTTGCCCCTTGGGTTACGGTTTCATTATTAGCAAACCATTCAAAGAGAATCACTGGAAAAAAGTTCCACATGTGGAGAAGATTTTGCCGTGTTGGGATGCTTTGCTTTCAACAAGAACCTTTGAGTTTTCTGAAAGCTTTGAAGCTTTGCCTGTCTTAGGTCCCTGTCTCCTCTTGCCGTGCCCACCAGTGGGCAGCGTGGGTCGAGCAGGGTGCAGTTCCATGATGTCCCCGCTTGAAGCCAACTTGGTCGCTGCCTTTGCCTCTCTCCCCACTTGTTCTGTGTTGGGCGAGCACAGGCTGCCCTCGGTTTGGGAGTGACGGACCTCCTGGGTCTTACCCCGGGAGCTTCAGGCCAGGAAAGACAGACAAGGCGGTTGTGTGGGTGGGTGTGCGGAGCAGGGAGGCCCAGGTGCTGCGGGGCGGAGTGTGCACTCCTTGCTGCTCTGTGCCTGTGTCTGCAGATGGTGAAATGCTCTCCGACTCAGCAGGGCAGCTGTCCGGGCAGCGAGCCTGGCAGGAGCGTGCCCACGCGTGGCAGCAGAACCTGCACACTGGACTGATGCAGAGGCCTTTCTTCCAGAGCTCTTCGACATCTGCCTGGCCCGAGCCAAGGAGAGGTGGCGGTCGCTCAGCACAGGAGGCCCTGGCACTGACAGCGAAGGTACGGGCCACACATGTCTCTCTTGTCACGTGGGGAAATTCGCCTCCCAGTAGGAGTGGTTCTGTTGATCTCTGGAACACCACACGGAAGGCTGCCTTTAGGCCAGAGTCAGAGGAGAACGTTTATGTAGGAAAAAGGAGGGACAGCTCCTGACGGGACTGGTCATCACCAACGTCACTTCCTGTCCACACTGCCACTCAGTGGCTGGGGCCGGCCTCCAGGGGAGACGGGGACGTGGCATGCCCACTTGACGGCACTTTCCACATTGCCTGTCACGCCCTGGACTGGACTCTTGGTGCTGCTTAGGAAGGCTGTGGAAGCTGATTTTGTTTACTCTGTCTGTAGTATTACAGTTTAGATAGAAGTTAGGCATCATTTGTTAGTGATACTGTACACAAATCAAACCACATGAATTCCCTTATACACTAAGTTATTTTATTTTTGAAATGTCTGGGATTTGGGGGCTGGTATTGTAGCATAGCAGGCTTAACCTCTGCCTGTGGTGCCAGCATCCCTTATGGGTGCTGGTTTGTGTCCCGGCTGCTCCACTTCTGATCCAGCTCTCTGCTTATGCTTTGGGAAAGCAACAGAGGGTTTCCAGGTCATTGGGCGCGTGCAGCCACTGGGCTCTGGGCACTGCAGCCATGTGGGCAGCAAACCAGTAGGTGGGAGATATTGCTTGCTCTTTCTCTGAGTCTCTACTTTTCAAAAATGAAAAAGGCAAACTAAAATATCTAGAATTTTAGACTTTTAGGAAACATTCTACATACTTGCGCTGCAGCGTGGCATTTTGCATGTGTAAAATGCAGATCTCACAGGTCAGCTCGTGTCGGTCACTTAGGCATGGCTTGTGGTGTGTTGAAGGCGCTGCCTCCTGTCTCAGGGGTGGCAGCTGTGGTCGCCAGGCGCTGCTGCAGACCCCTGGAACTTCTGTGAGACTAAGCTTTTCTGTCTTGGGGCTGGCGTTTTTCCAGCCGTGTTCTAGACTGCTTCTCAGCGTTCAGCCTGCCGACCCCATGGGGTGTTGGGTCCTGTGGCATATGTCTTTTTGTACCTGGCTTTTTTCCCATGACATGATGTCTTCCAAGCCCTTTCTCACAAATGACAGGATCTCTCATATATATGTAATATATATTTCAATGTATATAACATAATATATATATTGAAAGAGATACTCTAGCTGCTGGTTCACTCCCCAGGTGGCCACGCCACTGGAGCTGCGTCTCCCCCGTGGGCGCAGGGGCCTAAGCACTTGGACCGTCTTCCACCGCTTCCCCAAGTGCGTTAGCTGGGACTTGAACTGGTGTGCAGGTGGGATTCCAGCGTGGCAGATGGGAGCTTGGCCTGTCAAGCCACCACGCTGGTCTGTTGTCACACACCACGTTTCCTCCCCGTTCACCCACTGATGGCCCCTAGGTTGGTGTCAGTGCGTGCTGCGGGGCACGCTGCTCGGGCAGGGCCGGCCCACACTGGGCGCCACGTGAACCGCTCTGCTCGGGCAGGGCTGGTGTCTGCACACACTGGGCGCCATGTGCTCTGCTCGGGCAGGGCCGGCGTCTCGGGCTGATCCTGATTCCCTGGGCCTGCTGCTCAGTAGTGTGGCTGTGTCATGTGACAGTTCTGTCTTTGATTTTTGGAAGCCACATGACCCAGGTCAGATAATGCTGCTTTTGGGTGTGGTTTCCTATGCCTTGATTTCAGTTGGGGCTGTTTCCATACTTGTCCTTCTTTCTCACTCATGGCATTCTGTTGGTCCGGTTCTGAAGTACTTGCTCGTTTCTTACAAACCTCGAGGGCCTGGGAATGGCTGCCTGACTGTTGGTCTTCCGGCAGATGCCGGCTTTTCTGCGGCGGACAGGGAGGCCAGCCTGGAGCTCATTAAGCTGGACATCTCGCGGACATTTCCCAGCCTCTGCATCTTCCAGCAAGTAAGTCCCGATGATCTACTGCGTTTGTGTCTGTCCCTCCTAAAACCCAGGGCTGCTAAGCCACGTGGATTTGTCGTTGCAGTTGAAAAGCATGGAGCTTTTCTGTGTGTATGTGTTGGGGTTGGGGCAGAGTAAGGGGGAGGGCAGCTCTTACTCCTAACACTGTGGACTGTTCAAAGTCAGTGCCACTGACCCTCTCCGAATAGTTCTCATCCAGCCATATCTGTACTCGGACAGTGCGGGCACCTGCCTCTGGAGGGGCTCAAGAGAGACCTGTGGCAGCTCCTTCTGTCTGTCGCGCCGGCCTGAGTGCCCTGTGACTGGCCTCAGCACAGTGAGCTCAGTGCACAGCCTGGGGGAGGAAGGGAAGTCCGTGGGGTCTCCGGAGTAGCCAGGCTGGGTGACTGCGCAGGTGGGTCAGGAGAGCAGGTCCTGGGCCAGAAGCCAGCTGAGGCAGGTGGACAGGGAGAGCAGAGAGGTGCCAGCTGTTGCAAGACCCGCAGGGCTTGCTTGATCCCTTCCTCACCCCGCCTGTGATGGTTGTGCCACTTCTGGACTGCCTGTGTGTCTGTCAGTTCTCGCTGCCTTTCCTTGGCTCCAAGATTCTCCCCACTACGGATCCCTGCGTCAGCTTTGCCTTGAGGAGAGTTGGAAGAAACGTATTGCACGGCCCTTGGAATGAGTCTAGCCACAGAGGGGCCAAGTGGTGTGGCAGCAGTGTGCTCGTTTGCAGCTTGAGGGCAGGCCCTGTGCCTTCTGCTGGCGGCTGGGACCGGAGGCGGTCTCCTGATCCCAGGCCAGGTCTGGGCTCTGACCAGCAGTCTGACATTGGCAGCCCTGGACACACAGTGGTGTCCATGGGTGTTAGTGATGGTTCAGTGTCTCGGAGCAAAGTGTAGCTGAGCTTGCAGAGCCCTTTGCCATAGCGGCAGAAGCCAGAGTGTGACAGAAGGACAGAATGGATAGGCAGCAAGAGCTTGCGTTCCTGACCTGGTTCAGCAGCCCTGGCGGCAGGCAGATTAGCAGTCTTTCCTGTGAGTGGAGTGTGGACGTGCCAGCAATCCACTCAGGAGGAAGGGGGTGCAGAGAACTGAACAGCTGGAGCAGGTGTCTGGGTGCTTCTTCCAGGATGTGTTTATTTGAAAGACAGTGAAAGAGAGAGATCCTCCATCTGTTGGTTTGCTTTCTGAATGCCCACAACAGCCAGGCCAAAGCTGGGGAGCAGAAACTTCGCCTGAGTCATCCCTGTGAAGTTCAGCAGCCGAGTGCTTTGGGCTGTCATCGCCAGCCCCCAGGTGCAGGAAGCTGAACTGGGAGGCCTGGCATAGCTGCAGCAGAGGTGGGAGAGGAAGGCATCTCAGCCCCCGGATACCAGTTGAGTGGGCACCTGAGGTTCAGAGGTCATGGGCAACTCCACTCCGCAGAAGCTGCAGAGGTCACAGCCAGTTCTTCCTGGACCCCGCCATTCCTCCGGAACAGCTTGCAGAATTGCTACATGACCAGCTGGTGCTGCTCACCAGGGTTCAGAGGAGGAGAGAGCTTTGGGGGTCACACGGGTGGCAAAAGGCTGCTGTCCCTGCTGCTGTCCTGGCCCCGAGTTCCAGGGTGTGTGAATGGATGGCGTAGAAGCAGGGCAGCGGCTGGGAGGGTGTGCAGTCAGCATGTGCAGCAGGGAGTGCGGCCAAGGTTGGAGCTCATGCCATCTTCTCATTGGAGGGAGGAGGCTGTGTGTGCAGGGACAGGAAATCCCCCGAGACACAGGGAGAAACAAGGGTCAGTGCGGGCTTTGCGAGCACCTCCGTCGCACAGGGCCCGGCAGCACCCGCCCCACCGCCCTGTGTCCACCTGCTGTACAGTGTCCTCTCTGATGTAGCCTGCGTCCTAGGTCAGGTCATCCCGGCTAGGTGCTGGTGTTGTGTAAGCTGCCTGTGGAGCAGCTTCCTGGTCACACCCTGAATTCTGCCCCTCAGTCAGCCTTAGGCAGGGGTTGAATACAGTGTCTCAGCTGGCTTCTAGGCTCAGTTAGAAAGGCGGCAAAAGCCCCAGCCTGGAGACAGGTAGAAGCCGTTGTAGCAGTAAATGGGAACCTTGGAGAGATGCGAGGGCTGGGAAAAGGATGCTCTGAGGTGTCCCAGGGCACACCCTGTGCACCTTGCTGCCGGAGTCCAGCTCCAGCTGAGTTCGGAGCTCGGGAAGGGTGCGTGGAGTCGGCGATAAAGACACAGACACGTGTTGCGTTCTCGCTGCCTCTTTTCAAGAAGAAGCTGTCCTTCCTTTTTATTTTCTTAGACACATCACAAGCCTCTGCACACACGTTTGATTTTTTATCTTTTACTTTAGAACTAAGACAGCATGCACAGATGTTCAATTAATTTTTACTTCCTGGTCAACCAGGTGCTCTTAAAGATAATTCTGTAAGTTACTATAATCAGTTTCTTGCAGAATTCTTTTTTTTTTTAAGCAAGCCGTTATTCATTGTTCAGTAGTGGCCACTAGGTGACAGCCAGAACTCCAAGGCCAAGGCACAGATGGTTACCTGCTAATCAGTAAAACATTCCTACTACATTTTATTTTCACAACTTATCTATCACTTAATGGGAGAAATACATCAAAAGAGAAAAAACATAAGGATCTAAGACAGAAAGCTTCAAACATTCAGTCCCCCTCCAACTGCAGACTCTACAGCCTCATAAGCAATCAAACAATAATCAAAAGTATATCTCTGTGATGTTAATAGTCATCCTATATTTCCTCTAGTTGAAAAACTATGAAAGCGGCTAAAGCAGCTACATTTTCTATGCTCTAAAGAGTTGCAAGGACAGGTTAACCTTTAAAGTCACAGTAACTATATTTTTGCCATAGCAGTTTCTGCTCATACTCCCATCACTTCCATTAGTTTGTAAAATTCTTGTTAAGCCGTTTCCCAGAAGGCATGCTATATGTCTGAGCCCAATTTCAGGGCAATGAGTAGGCACACAATAAGGTGTCCAGAAATGGCATGGGTTTAATTGTAGGTTTAATTGTACTCCTGAGCGCAGTTAAAGGCCCACTCACTAAGACATTATCAATAACATTAACTCTTAAGCTCACAGTAGTTGCCAAAGCCATCTCACAGGGGCAAACGATGCCTCCATAGATTACAGAATTCTTAGTGAGATGCTTGAGTGTCCATGCAAACGGGGTGAGACTGCGTCAAGGTGGTCAGAGAGAAATCCACCGGGCCCTGCCAAACAGCTGGAAGCTCCCCAGGCCCTGCCAAGCAGGGAGCTGTTCTCTTCACACCTTCATGTCATCCATACCTACTGCACGGACCCCAGCACCTTACAGCAGAGTTGGTCACCCCACAGGGGCAGACACAGGACGGTACCCAGGCCTGACCGGCTGTCCCCAGAACAGCTCTCGTGTGTGAGCTTGCATGATGCACCTGCCCCAGTCAGCAGAGAGTGGGACGAGTTCCTGTTGTGTGGATGTGGAGTGGCAGGACTAACCGCACTGACGTGTGTTGTCTCTGTCGATCCTCTAGGGCGGCCCGTATCATGACATGTTGCACAGTATTTTGGGCGCTTACACTTGTTACCGACCGGATGTGGGTTATGTAAGTGAAGAAGTTTTATTCTCTGCATTTTATAATGGTGTCATTGAAAAGGAAAGTTGGAATGTCATGGTGCTGGCACGCCCTCGCAGCAGGTGCCAGGCAGCAAGGCCTCAGTGCTTGCGGAGTACGGAGAGTGCCCCAGCACAGGGGCTGACATTGTGTCAGGAGATTGCTGCTCCCTGGTGTCGCTCACGTTCCGGCTGAGTGTGATTTTCAACTTCTGCATGAGATTTTTTTTTTAAGCCTTTAGCAATAACCATTATTTTAAACTGCATTGGTGACATCTCTGCCTGTCATGTGTGCATGGTTTGACATGGAACGTGACAGGGTAGGCATGTGTCTGCAGCACCAGCACATGCTATTTGCTGGAGGAAGGGCTGGCCAGTGGTGTCCACGGGGGTCGGTAGCTGGGACTCGGAGGAGTGCGGACCGGGTGCTGCTGGGCAGAGCAGTGCCTTGACAGCACGGGAGCTGGGTTCCTCCCAGCTGAGAGCCTCTCTGCCCCCCAGGTCCAGGGCATGTCCTTCATAGCAGCCGTGCTGATCTTGAACCTAGACACGGCAGATGCCTTCGTGGCCTTCTCGAACCTCTTGAACAAGCCCTGTCAGATGGCGTTCTTCCGTGTGGACCACGGCCTGGTGAGTACTCCCTGTCTACGCCCTGATGCTGGGTCGGCATGGGCAGGCCAAGGCTAGCCCACTGTCTCCTCCGTGAGAGAAGAATGTGTGTTCCCCCCGCAGAGGCTGAGGACCACGACGGGGAGAGAGCTTTTCCTTGGCGCCCACATGGTGGGTGGTGTTGGCACTGAAAGAAAGATGGCCATTTTGAAATGTGTTGTTCCAGTGAGGGAGGAGGGGAACACACCCACACTCCCACATGCACACCTACACTCTCACATGCACACCCACACCCCACATACACACCCACACTCCCACATACACACCCACACTCCACATACACACCCACACTCCCACATGCACACCCACACTCCACATACACACCCACACTCCACATACACACCCACACTCCACATACACACCCACACTCCACATACACACCCACACTCCCACATACACACCCACACTCCACATACACACCCACACTCCACATACACACCCACACTCCACATGCACACCCACACTCCACATGCACACCCACACTCCCACATACACACCCACACCCCACATACACACCCATACTCCCACATACACACCCACACTCCCACATACACACCCACACTCCCACATACACACCCACACTCCACATGCACACCCACACTCCACATGCACACCCACACTCCACATACACACTCACACCCCACATACACACCCACACTCCCACATACACACCCACACCCCACATACACACCCACACTCCACATACACACCCACACTCCCACATGCACACCCACACTCCACATACACACCCACACTCCCACATACACACCCACACTCCCACATACACACCCACACTCCACATGCACACCCACACTCCACATACACACCCACACTCCCACATACACACCCACACTCCCACATACACACCCACACTCCCACATACACACTCACACCCCACATACACACCCACACTCCCACATACACACCCACACTCCCACATACACACCCACACTCCCACATACACACTCACACCCCACATACACACCCACACTCCCACATACACACCCACACCCCACATACACACCCACACTCCCACATACACACCCACACTCCACATGCACACCCACACTCCCACATACACACCCACACTCCACATACACACCCACTCTCATAGGCGCACACTTATATGTGTACTCAAAAAACACTCAAACACATTTGCAAACACTGAGACGTGCACTCTGACAGTACATACACACAGACACTCTCAGTGCACAGACTCATGTACGTGGACACACACACAATTTACTCAAAGTACTCACGCGCTAACACACAGACATTCACACATACTCCACACACTGCTGCACATTTCCAGTCATACATTCAACTTCACACACACCTTCTCTCATACACACACCTTCTGTCACATTCACACACATACACCTTTTGTCACACTCATACACATACACAGACACACGCATACTCAGTGTGTTGGAGGCCAAGCTCGGAGAGCAGGTGGGTGAGGCCACGCTCCTGTGTCTGTGAGAAAGGCAGTGGCTGGTTTGGTGTCCTGCCGACTCCAGTGAGCAGCTGGGAGGGTGGGCAGACGCCTTGAGCCCCTCTGCGCTCATCCGCTGTGTCCTCCGTGCTGACGCCTGAGGCTCAGCTGGAAGGTCGCCCTGTGCTAAGCTCAACACCCTCAGTCCAGCCATGTCTCTTCCCCTTGGGAGTTTCTGATTGTTATGGTAGATATTTCAAGACCCAGACAGCCTGAGCCGTCGGCACCTATGAGGGGCTGTTCTTCCTTCACTCTAAACCTGCTGCAAACCTGGTGGCCGCCAGAGGGCGGCAGTCAGCCACGTCCCCTGCCTCGCTCCGGGCCCTGTGTGTGCTGGGGTGTCCTCATTGCAGAGAGGGCCTCTGTCCGCCCCGTGCTCAGGCCGTGGTTACTGTGAGCACAGGAGCCGCTTTGCAGGGCGCGAGGGGGAGGCAGACGTGTGCTGATGCCTAACGATTCAGCCGTGCCACTCTCCTGCACTTACAAGTAACCAGGCCTGAACACATAAAGGGTGTGTGTGACAGAAGGTGTGTGTGAGCGTGAGAGAAGGTGTGTGTGAGCGTGAGATTAGGTGTGTGAGAGAAGGTGTGTGTGTGTGAGAGAAGGTGTATGTGTGAGAGAAGGTGTGTGTGAGTGTGAGAGAAGGTGTGTGTGTGTGAGAGAAGGTGTGTGCGTGAGAGGAGGTGTGTGTGTGAGAGAAGGTGTGTGTGTGAGAGAAGGTATGTGTGAGTGTGAGAGAAGGTGTGTGAGAGAGAAGGTGTGTGTGTGAGAGAAGGTGTGTGTGTGTGAGAGAAGGTGTGTGTGTGTGAGAGAAGGTGTGTATGAGTGTGACAGGAGGTGTGTGTATGAGTGGCAGAAGGTGTGTGTGAGCATGAGAGAAGGTGTGTGTGAGTGTGAGAGAAGGTGTGTGTGAGCGTGAGAGAAGGTGTGTGTGAGCGTGAGAGAAGGTGTGTGTGAGTGTGAGAGAAGGTGTGTGAGAGAGAGAAGGTGTGTGTGTGAGAGAAGGTGTGTGTGAGTGTGAGGTGTGTGAGAGGTGTGTGTGTGCGTGAGAGAAGGTGTGTGTGTGAGAGAAGGTGTGTTTGAGTGTGACAGGAGGTGTGTGTGTGAGTGTAGCAGGTGTGTGTGAGTGTGACAGGTGTGTGAAAGTATGAGTGGCAGAAGGTGTGTGTGAGACAGAAGGTATGAGTGTGACGGGTGTATGACAGATGTGTGAGTGTGACGGGTGTATGACAGATGTGTGAGTGTGACGGGTGTGTGACAGATGTGTGAGTGTGACGGGTGTATGACAGATGTGTGAGTGTGACGGGTGTGTGTGACAGAAGGTGTGTGTGGCGCTCATGGAGGGCCGCCACGGCGTGTTGCTCCTAGAGAAGACACCGTGTGCGCCGGCAGGAGGCGCGGCAGGCAGAGCATCAGCGTTGCACAGGGGTGAGGTGTGCGAGGCCCGTGCGTCTCCCAGGCTTTCTGCAGAAAGCATTTACCCTTATAATCGGGAAAAGTTAACATTTCCGGAAGAAATAGTGGACAGAAGTTGGAGAGAAGACCCCGGTGGCTTTTGGGGTTTGTTTGTTAGGATTTATTTATTTTGGGGCCCGGCACAGTGGCTCAAAGGGTAAATCCTCACCTCGTAGGAGCCAGGATCCCATACAGACACCAGTTCTCTCCTTCTCTCTGTAAATCTGTCTTTCCAATAAATATAAATCTAAAAATGATTTATTTTACTTGAAAGTCAGGGAGAAGGAGAGACAGAGGGAGAGCCCTCCCACCCACTGGTTCATTCCCCAGATGGTTGCGATGTCCCGAGCTGGGCCGATCCAAAGCCAGGAGCCAGGAGCTTCCTCTGGTCTCCATGTACATACCCTGGGTTCCAGTGATGCAGGAACCTGTGCTCACGCGAGTTTAGTGGAATTCCTCACTTGTCTCTCTAGATGCTCACTTACTTTGCCGCGTTCGAGGTGTTCTTTGAGGAAAATTTGCCGAAATTGTTTGCTCATTTCAAGAAAAACAACCTGACCCCAGACATCTACCTGATCGACTGGTAAGCCTCACCCCTGTCTGCACAGCACCGCCCTGCTCCTTACCTCACCCCTGCCTGCACAGCACCGCCCGTGACTCCTTACCTCACCCCTGCCTGCACAGCACCCGCCCTGCTCCTTACCTCACCCCTGCCTGCACAGTATCTGCCCACCCCATTCCTCACTTACCCCTTGCCTCTCCGTTTCCTGCTGTGAGGGCCCCCTGGTTCCCTCAGTGTGAGCTGGCCCGCCCGTGACTCCATCGAGCCTTCTGGGTTCACTGCAAGAGGAGCTCACTTATGCTCTTTGCACATCCCTTGAGCAAGCTGTCCCCAGGCGGCAGACCTGCCCAGGCCCTCTCCTGGGCACCAGAGGCAGGTGGTGAGCAGGACTCTACCTGCCTGGTGGGAGCTGCAGTGAAGGGTGGGGAAGGAAAGCAGGCAGAGCCCCGGGCCCTGCCCAGCAGTCAGCATTCACGGAAGCAATGCGGTGCTTAAGCCAGGTGTGGCTGGGGCAGTGCCATTCTAGAACTGGGCACCTGCCGGTGGGGGCCTGAAGTAAGGGACGGAAGCAGCTGGGGAGGGGTCGGGGGGCCTGGGCAGGATTGCTAGGGAGGGGTCGGGAGGCCCGGGCAGGATCGGGCAGAGGGGGCTTGGGTGAGGGCGCAGCTCCTCTGAGAAGTTGGCTGGAGGCGGGAGAACCTGGGGCAGGAGCAGAAGTGGTGGAGTGGTGGCAGTGGCAATGGTGGCGAAAGCCTGGTGGGTCCCGGCGAGGGTTCTGGATGTGCCAGAGGACCACTGTCCCTTGTGGAATGTCCAGCTGGCAAGGGATTGCCAAGGCCCCTGCTGAGGTGAACACGAAGGAATCTGATTTTGCCCACCCCACCCCCACCGCAGATAATGGGCCTGGGGGTTAGACATGGACACGTGAGGTTCCAGAGAGTCTGTGTCAAGGGTGGATTTGGCTGCTGTAGGCAGGCTGTGGGGCCATGTCCCTGGATCTGGTGAGTCCTGAGGGACCCAAGTGACAGTGCACCCCAGATGTCAAGCTGTGCTAGCCCAGGCCCTTGCTTCTGCTTGCCCTGGGGCCTCGGCAAGGGCCGTGAGCACACCTGCCTCAGCCTGACTCCCAGCTCACCAAGGGGCTCTGCGGAGGAGGCAGGATGCCCACCTCGCAGAATGCCTGCCTAGCAGTCCACTTTGGCACAGGCAGGAGACTCGGTGGACACATAGTCGGCGGAGGGGTTTCCTCCCTGACCACAGGGGACAGAAGGCCCGCTTGAAGACAGTGCTTGAGATGTGGCTAGTTCCCTCAGGTGCAGCTAACCCGTGTGCGTCCTTGGAGCAAGCCCCTGGTTTCCCTGACGTTTGCTGCTTGTATTTTAAATCCCGAGATGGTTCTGACCCCAGTGACTTCCAGCTGTGATCTCAGGCAGAGTGGGCAGCCCTTCTGCCTAGGGCGCTGTGGGCATCAAAGGACGCCTGTGTGAGGCTGTGTGCGGTTCTCCAAGGCTAAGCCAGCCTGCAGGATGCGTGGGTTGAGCTTCAGTGGAGGCTTACTGCCTTGCAGGGTCAGAACAGTTGAGTTTGGTAAGGACCAGGGCCCAGATGTGGCTCACCCCTCAGTTGGAGTCTGCAGCTGGGGCCACGTGACACAGAGCAGAAACCACCAGGCCGTGGGTTCGTGGTCGAGGGCACGTGGGCTGCCTCGTTTCGCTGTGCCTGCTTAAAGGGCCCCTTGACACATCAATGAGAATGCAACCCGCATCGTCGGCCTGTTTGACCATGACCTCTGACTCTCAGGTTCCTGGATGCATGTGACCCTGGAGGTCGTGCCAGCCGAGAGCCTGCAGCTTGTTTCTCTAACATGTTTTAGAACTTTCTAGGGAGGTCCTCGGGGTCCTAAGCTGAAAGGCATTAGTGTTTTGCAGCCTCATTTCACCCTAACTTGCCAGAGAAAGTCCATTTGACGTGGCAACCCCACATGCGACCACACGTGCAGAAGGCTGGCGTTTGTGTGCACCGGGGACAGGACAGCTTCTGCGTTGGCCTGCCCTTGGCGCCTCCAACATGCTCTGAGCTATGGGTGTGCAAAACGCACTGCTGGCTGGGTGCAGCCTGCTTCGACCTGTCCCTTGGGGATGGTGGCCCGGGCAAGGCCGAGGGCCTGTCCCGTGTAGTGTGCTGGCTGAGGGCCTGTCCCGTGTAGTGTGGCCTGCCCCATGTAGTATGGCCTGTCCCGTGTAGTGTGGCCTGTCCCATGTAGTGTGGCCTGTCCTGTGTAGCGTGCAGAGCAGCCCCTGCAGGTGCACTGTTAATGCCTGTCTTATAGGTGAAGAGGCCAGTGCCCAGAGAGGCAGTTTTGCCCTCTCCTGTGGCTGGCCAGTGCCCAGAGAGGCAGTTTTGCCCTCTCCTGTGGCTGGCCAGTGTAGAGCTAGCACCGCACGAAGGCCTGCCTGGCCCCACAGCTCGTGCACATGCCCTGTCTGGGGCAGTCCCTTAGGAGACAGCGTGACTCATGAGGTGAGTTCTTGGCTCAGGCCTTGCCAGGGCCCTGGGAGGTGGAGAGCAGGTGAGCGGAGTGTGCAGGGAGCATTGGGCACAGCGCATGGCGTCTGAGCAAATGGGAAACCCTGGTCTTTTCCCCACAAGGATCTGCATGCCACTGGGCCTGGGCCAGGCTGCATGTTGATGGTGGGCTGCCTGCTCCTACAGGGAGGACCGCATCGGTGTCCCTGCACAAGGCTGGCCCCCGGTCAGCATGTCCGACGGCCTGCGATGGCTCCGGCGCAGGCCGTCCATTGGGTGTACACAGGTTGGGAGTGCGGTGGGCAGCAGAAAGAGCAGAAGGCAGGTGCAGGACATAGTGTGCTAGCTGCCGGGGGTCCACGACCAGTCCCAGGGGCCGGTGTCGTAGGTGAGCTAAGACGGCTGCAACTTGGAGGAGAAAAACTTCCCATACCAGTTTGCCTGTCACCGTGTCAGCCACATGCGGTGTGCCATCGTCCATTCCCCCTGTGGCTCTCCTGTTGTCACCAGGGTTGGCGCTTTGCCTGGCTGAGGGCCCGGGGCAAGGGGTCCATCTAGACCTGGGTTTAAGACAAGGGGAGAGGATCACAAAGCCGCCCCAGACGGCTTCCTGTGTGCCGCCTGACAGCACGGAAGGAGAGTTGGCTGTGCTTGCGCCTTCCTGGCAGGGACTCAGGCCACATGTGCCTGCTCATTCTTACATCAACATGGCCGTCAGGCCTCAGGGCTGGCAGCTGTCCTCCTCTTCCTCCCGAGTCTGGTGGTTCCTATGTTCCAGGGTCTGCGCTCTGTGCAAGGACGGATGTGAGAGACTAAGGCAGGGAGCACCACAGTGGGGGACTGAGTACTGTGGTGTGCGGGCACGCGTGGGTTCCCAGGTCAGCCAAGGAAGGAAGGACTTGGTCCTCAGGATGGGGAAATGGAGGCAGTGGGTGGCTGAGGCTCCTAGGTGTGTGCACCTGCCCAGTGCCCTACCCCTACCTTAGTGGCCTGCCTGGTCTGTGAAAGGGAGGTGCTGGCAGCCCCGTCTCTTGGGGTTCTGGTAGAGCTGTGATTGGAGAAGCTAGGTAAGCGTATGGAGAGCCACCTCTTCTTGCTGTCGGCAGCCTGGGTCCTCTTGGCGGTGGCCAGAGCAGCGGTCAGCTCTGCCGAGGGACATGTGCACCCAGGGGGTGGCTCTGCGTGCCCTCTGTCCGTCCAGTCGCTCCGCTTCGTTTAATCTGACCTCCTGATATGCCTGGGGAGAAAACAGAGAATTCCCTAAGCACTCAAGTTCCTGCCAGCCACTTGGGAGGCTGGGGTGGAATTCCTGGCTCCTGGCTGCATCCCGGCCCAGCTCCCAGATGCAGTAGGCATTTGGGGCGTGAACAATGGACAGGAAAATATGTCTCTGCCCTTCCTTCTGTCACTCTGCCTTTTGCGTGAGTAGGAGAGCCAAGTGATTCTCTCATGAAGTGTGTTGGATCAGCACGTGTGATGCTCTCATGAAGTGTGTTGGATCAGCACGTGTGATGCTCTCATGAAGTGTCTTGGATCAGCACGTGTGATTCTCCCATGAAGTGTGTTGGATCAGCACGTGTGATGCTCTCATGAAGTGTGTTGGATCAGCACGTGTGATGCTCTCATGAAGTGTGTTGGATCAGCACGTGTGATGCTCTCATGAAGTGTGTTGGATCAGCACGTGTGATGCTCTCATGAAGTGTCTTGGATCAGCACGTGTGATGCTCTCATGAAGTGTGTTGGATCAGCACGTGTGATGCTCTCATGAAGTGTGTTGGATCAGCACGTGTGATTCTCCCATGAAGTGTGTTGGATCAGCACGTGTGATGCTCTCATGAAGTGTGTTGGATCAGCACGTGTGATGCTCTCATGAAGTGTGTTGGATCAGCACGTGTGATGCTCTCATGAAGTGTGTTGGATCAGCACGTGTGATGCTCTCATGAAGTGTGTTGGATCAGCACGTGTGATGCTCTCATGAAGTGTCTTGGATCAGCACGTGTGATTCTCTCATGAAGTGTGTTGGATCAGCACGTGTGATTCTCCCATGAAGTGTGTTGGATCAGCACGTGTGATGCTCTCATGAAGTGTGTTGGATCAGCACGTGTGATGCTCTCATGAAGTGTGTTGGATCAGCATGTGTGCGTAGGCCTCCTCAGTGACGGAGACAAGCACAGGCTTGAGGTGCTGCGTTCCTGCTGGCAGCTCTGAGATGGGCCTTCCGAGTGGGCACAGCCAAAACCCTGCGCCCAGCCCCTCGTGTTGGATGCAGGTGGCCAGCGCGGGAAGTGTCCTTCCTGGAGCGCCCCCACCATGTGGCAACTGCATCTCCCTCAGGATCTTCACCCTGTACAGCAAGTCCCTGCCCCTGGACCTGGCCTGCCGCGTCTGGGACGTGTTCTGCCGGGACGGTGAGGAGTTCCTGTTCCGCACGGCCTTGGGCGTGCTCAGGCTGTTCCAGGACGTCCTCACCAAGATGGACTTCATCCACATGGCCCAGTTCCTGACCCGGCTGCCCGAGGACCTGCCCGCCGAGGAGCTCTTCGCGGCCGTTGCCACCGTGCAGATGCAAAGTCGCAACAGGAAGTGGGCTCAGGTACGGAGCCTCTGGCGGTCACTCTGCTGACGGCGTGACGCCATGACCAGGTCACGCTGTGGAAAGTGCTCCTTAGAGTGGGGCTGGCCTGAGCGGGCATGGCTGGGCATGCTGTGGCATAGTCCTTGGGCATTGTGGGCAGGTCCCTTCCTCCGGGTGTCGGCCAGAGCAGGTGTGTGGATAGGAAAACTTCTGCACCTGTTGTGTGGTGGCGCTGAAAGCCCTGGAAGCTCCAGCCACTGTGGTGCGTGTTAGAGAGCATTCTTGCAAAGTAGGCTCTGTGCCCCTGAAAATGGTGCCACCCAGAGAGCAGAAGGGCCGTGCCCTAGGCCCTGCTCGGTGAGTGGTCCTTGGCCCTTCACCAGGAAGTGGACAGCAGGCAGCGAGAGTGCCTCTGCCACCCCAGGTCTCGTCACCACAGCACTGGCCAGAGTGGGCCGGTTCCAGGTCTCTCTGAATAGTCCAGGTTAACCTCCTTGGGTACTCAGACTTTTCCACATATGGCATGTGGTGATGCTGTGGGACCTCCAGGACCACCCCTGCATCAGCCATGCCCGTCCCACAGCTCCCAGCATCCCAGGAGGAATCCTGGTCCCCGGGGCATGCTAGCTGTTCCCTGGGTTCAGCTCAGATTTGCTTGGCAAAGTGCCACCCTACCGATCGGGCAGGCTGTCGTTGGTTTGGTCAGCATTCTGTTCTCATGGTGTGTGTGTGTGCCCTGCTCTGTGTGTGTCTGCCCTGCTCTGTGTGTGTGCCCTGCTCTGTGTGTGTGGCCTGCTCTGTGTGTGTGCCCTGCTCTGTGTGTCTGCCCTGCTCTGTGTGTCTGCCCTGCTCTGTGTGTGTCTGCCCTGCTCTGTGTGTGTCTGCCCTGCTCTGTGTGTGTCTGCCCTGCTCTGTGTGTGTGCCCTGCTCTGTGTGTGTGCCCTGCTCTGTGTGTGTGTGCCCTGCTCTGTGTGTGTGTGCCCTACTCTGTGTGTCTGCCCTGCTCTGTGTGTGTGTGCCCTGCTCTGTGTGTGTCTGCCCTGCTCTGTGTGTGTCTGCCCTGCTCTGTGTGTGTGTGTCTGCCCTGCTCTGTGTGTGTGCCCTGCTCTGTGTGTGTCTGCCCTGCTCTGTGTGTGTCTGCCCTGCTCTGTGTGTGTCTGCCCTGCTCTGTGTGTGTGTGTCTGCCCTGCTCTGTGTGTGTCTGCCCTGCTCTGTGTGTCTGTCCTGCTCTGTGTGTGTGCCCTGCTCTGTGTGTGTGCCCTGCTCTGTGTGTGTGCCCTGCTCTGTGTGTGTGCCCTGCTCTGTGTGTGTCTGCCCTGCTCTGTGTGTGTGTGTCTGCCCTGCTCTGTGTGTCTGCCCTGCTCTGTGTGTGTGCCCTGCTCTGTGTGTGTGCCCTGCTCTGTGTGTGTGCCCTGCTCTGTGTGTGTGCCCTGCTCTGTGTGTCTGCCCTGCTCTGTGTGTGTGCCCTGCTCTGTGTGTGTGTGTCTGCCCTGCTCTGTGTGTGTGTGCCCTGCTCTGTGTGTGTGTGCCCTGCTCTGTGTGTGTGCCCTGCTCTGTGTGTGTGCCCTGCTCTGTGTGTGTGTGCCCTGCTCTGTGTGTCTGCCCTGCTCTGTGTGTGTGTGCCCTGCTCTGTGTGTGTGCCCTGCTCTGTGTGTCTGCCCTGCTCTGTGTGTGTGCCCTGCTCTGTGTGTGTGCCCTGCTCTGTGTGTGTGTGCCCTGCTCTGTGTGTGTCTGCCCTGCTCTGTGTGTGTGTGTGTGCCCTGCTCTGTGTGTGTGTGTGTGCCCTGCTCTGTGTGTGTGCCCTGCTCTGTGTGTGTGCCCTGCTCTGTGTGTCTGCCCTGCTCTGTGTGTGTGCCCTGCTCTGTGTGTGTGCCCTGCTCTGTGTGTGTGTGCCCTGCTCTGTGTGTGTGCCCTGCTCTGTGTGTCTGCCCTGCTCTGTGTGTGTGTGCCCTACTCTGTGTGTGTGTGCCCTGCTCTGTGTGTCTGTCCTGCTCTGTGTGTGTGCCCTGATCTGTGTGTGTGTGCCCTGCTCTGTGTGTGTGTGCCCTGCTCTGTGTGTCTGCCCTGCTCTGTGTGTGTGTGCCCTACTCTGTGTGTGTGTGCCCTGCTCTGTGTGTCTGTCCTGCTCTGTGTGTGTGCCCTGATCTGTGTGTGTGTGCCCTGCTCTGTGTGTGTGCCCTGCTCTGTGTGTGTGTGCCCTGCTCTGTGTGTGTGTGCCCTGCTCTGTGTGTGTGCCCTGCTCTGTGTGTGTGTGCCCTGCTCTGTGTGTGTGTGCCCTGCTCTGTGTGTCTGCCCTGCTCTGTGTGTGTGTGCCCTACTCTGTGTGTGTGTGCCCTGCTCTGTGTGTGTGTGCCCTGCTCTGTGTGTGTGCCTTGCTCTGTGTGTGTGCCCTGCTCTGTGTGTGTGTGCCCTGCTCTGTGTGTGTGTGCCCTGCTCTGTGTGTGTGTGCCCTGCTCTGTGTGTGTGCCCTGCTCTGTGTGTGTGTGCCCTGCTCTGTGTGTGTGCCTTGCTCTGTGTGTGTGCCCTGCTCTGTGTGTGTGCCCTGCTCTGTGTGTGTGCCCTGCTCTCTGTGTGTCTGCCCTGCTCTGTGTGTGTGCCCTGCTCTGTGTGTGTGTGTGCCCTGCTCTGTGTGTGTCTGCCCTGCTCTGTGTGTGTGTGTGTGCCCTGCTCTGTGTGTGTGTGTGTGCCCTGCTCTGTGTGTGTGCCCTGCTCTGTGTGTGTGCCCTGCTCTGTGTGTCTGCCCTGCTCTGTGTGTGTGCCCTGCTCTGTGTGTGTGCCCTGCTCTGTGTGTGTGCCCTGCTCTGTGTGTGTGTGCCCTGCTCTGTGTGTGTGTGCCCTGCTCTGTGTGTGTGTGCCCTGCTCTGTGTGTGTGCCCTGCTCTGTGTGTGTGTGCCCTGCTCTGTGTGTGTGCCCTGCTCTGTGTGTGTGTGCCCTGCTCTGTGTGTGTGCCCTGCTCTGTGTGTGTGTGCCCTGCTCTGTGTGTCTGCCCTGCTCTGTGTGTGTGCCCTGCTCTGTGTGTGTGTGTCTGCCCTGCTCTGTGTGTGTGTGCCCTGCTCTGTGTGTGTGTGCCCTGCTCTGTGTGTGTGCCCTGCTCTGTGTGTGTGCCCTGCTCTGTGTGTGTGTGCCCTGCTCTGTGTGTCTGCCCTGCTCTGTGTGTGTGTGCCCTGCTCTGTGTGTGTGCCCTGCTCTGTGTGTCTGCCCTGCTCTGTGTGTGTGCCCTGCTCTGTGTGTGTGCCCTGCTCTGTGTGTGTGTGCCCTGCTCTGTGTGTGTCTGCCCTGCTCTGTGTGTGTGTGTGTGCCCTGCTCTGTGTGTGTGTGTGTGCCCTGCTCTGTGTGTGTGCCCTGCTCTGTGTGTGTGCCCTGCTCTGTGTGTCTGCCCTGCTCTGTGTGTGTGCCCTGCTCTGTGTGTGTGCCCTGCTCTGTGTGTGTGTGCCCTGCTCTGTGTGTGTGTGCCCTGCTCTGTGTGTCTGCCCTGCTCTGTGTGTGTGTGCCCTACTCTGTGTGTGTGTGCCCTGCTCTGTGTGTCTGTCCTGCTCTGTGTGTGTGCCCTGATCTGTGTGTGTGTGCCCTGCTCTGTGTGTGTGCCCTGCTCTGTGTGTGTGTGCCCTGCTCTGTGTGTGTGTGCCCTGCTCTGTGTGTGTGCCCTGCTCTGTGTGTGTGTGCCCTGCTCTGTGTGTGTGCCTTGCTCTGTGTGTGTGCCCTGCTCTGTGTGTGTGTGCCCTGCTCTGTGTGTGTGTGCCCTGCTCTGTGTGTGTGTGCCCTGCTCTGTGTGTGTGTGCCCTGCTCTGTGTGTGTGTGCCCTGCTCTGTGTGTGTGCCCTGCTCTGTGTGTGTGTGCCCTGATCTGTGTGTGTGTGCCCTGCTCTGTGTGTGTGTGCCCTGCTCTGTGTGTGTGCCCTGCTCTGTGTGTGTGCCCTGCTCTGTGTGTCTGCCCTGCTCTGTGTGTGTCTGCCCTGCTCTGTGTGTGTGCCCTGCTCTGTGTGTGTGTGCCCTGCTCTGTGTGTGTGCCTTGCTCTGTGTGTGTGCCCTGCTCTGTGTGTGTGTGCCCTGCTCTGTGTGTGTGTGCCCTGCTCTGTGTGTGTGTGCCCTGCTCTGTGTGTGTGCCCTGCTCTGTGTGTGTGTGCCCTGCTCTGTGTGTGTGCCTTGCTCTGTGTGTGTGCCCTGCTCTGTGTGTGTGCCCTGCTCTGTGTGTGTGCCCTGCTCTCTGTGTGTCTGCCCTGCTCTGTGTGTGTGCCCTGCTCTGTGTGTGTGTGTGCCCTGCTCTGTGTGTGTCTGCCCTGCTCTGTGTGTGTGTGTGTGCCCTGCTCTGTGTGTGTGTGTGTGCCCTGCTCTGTGTGTGTGCCCTGCTCTGTGTGTGTGCCCTGCTCTGTGTGTCTGCCCTGCTCTGTGTGTGTGCCCTGCTCTGTGTGTGTGCCTTGCTCTGTGTGTGTGCCCTGCTCTGTGTGTGTGTGCCCTGCTCTGTGTGTGTGTGCCCTGCTCTGTGTGTGTGTGCCCTGCTCTGTGTGTGTGCCCTGCTCTGTGTGTGTGTGCCCTGCTCTGTGTGTGTGCCCTGCTCTGTGTGTGTGTGCCCTGCTCTGTGTGTGTGCCCTGCTCTGTGTGTGTGTGCCCTGCTCTGTGTGTCTGCCCTGCTCTGTGTGTCTGTGCCCTGCTCTGTGTGTGTGTGTCCTGCTCTGTGTGTCTGCCCTGCTCTGTGTGTGTGCCCTGCTCTGTGTGTGTGTGCCCTGCTCTGTGTGTCTGCCCTGCTCTGTGTGTGTGCCCTGCTCTGTGTGTGTGTCTGCCCTGCTCTGTGTGTCTGCCTTGAAAAGTCACTCCCTCAGTGTGTGCCATTCATTACCCAGAGGGGTCCTGAGCCCCCAGGCCTCTGTCCACCTCTCCCCTTGGGCCATGCTGGGTCATCTTGTGCAAGTTGCTCCTCTGCTTTCCCGGCTCCAGGGACTGTTTTATGCCTGGGAGCACATCAGTTCTGTTTCTGAATGATTCAACACCCTCAGCTTCCCCAGGGGAGCCAAGTCCTGGTCTGTGTGTAGGTAAGGGCAGGCTCAGAGCTTCCCTGTGAGTGACTGCAGACCCATGGATCCCCAGGGACCCCTACAGTGGCTGGAGGCCGGAGAACTGCTGCTGGAAGGTAGATTCCTTCTGGACTCACTTGCCCATAGCTGCCTGAGAAAGTGCGAGAAACCCTTGACTTGCGCCTTGCATGTGAAGCTCTGTCAGTAGCACTGGGGCAGGACAGCCCGGGCCGTGATTGGAGACCCAGGGAGCGCCGGGTGTGCGGAAGGCAGTGCGGCCCCTGCTCAGTAGTTACAGAGCATTTCCTGGCGGCAACTGGCAGAGCACGACACCAGCTGGGGTGGGCAAGCCCCGGCTCTGTGGCTGCCTGGGGCACAGGGAGCCCTGCCCGCTCACCTCTGGAGGCTTCTGCAGGAGTCTCTGGAAACCACATCCTCGCCGACAGCCCCTGCCCTGGCAGCCTGTTGTCTCCAGTCCCTATCTCACACACACCCTGTGCACCCACAGACACACCCGGGGAGAGGCTAAACCCAGCTGTGTGAAAGCTTGTGGTGAAAGCCAGGCCGGTGACTGTTGGGCGAGGACAGCATTTTCCAGCCCCAGGGCAGTGGTGCGGGAGGCCCAGGCGTGCTGCAGGCGCTAGCAGGCCATGCTTAGGTCAGAGCTTCCTGCTGACAGGGAACTGTGCCCAGTAGGAAACCTGGAAGTGGAGCGGAACGTGAGGTGCTCCCCTCCAGGTCCTGGGGCCTCGATGTTCTTTCTGTCGTGCTGCTGTCCGTGGGGTGGCCGAGCTGGGCCAGTGGAGTGGAAGGTAGTACTTCCTGACCAAAGGAAAGGTGGCCAGCAGAGTGGAGGGAAGCTGCCAAGAGGCGCTGGGGCCAGGCCTGTGGGCGCCCGACGTGTGCCTGGGGGAGGCGGCTGAACAGACGGCCAGCACCTGCCGCACTGTGGCCGCGAGGAGGGAGGGGGCCCGTGGGGAGGCAGCCAGCGCTGTGGGAAGCGTGTTACGGAATAACCGCAGCTGTCTCCCATGTGACCCCCAGGTTCTGACAGCCCTGCAGAAGGACAGCCGGGACATGGAGAAGGGCAGCCCAGCCCTCAGGCACTGAGGCCATGAGAGCCAACCTCCACATGCACCTGTGCAGCTTCGTGCGGACACCTGGCGGCGGCGAACAGGGGTCCTTTGCATTGCACTCCTAACAGGGAGTTGGCCTTAAAAACAAACCAACAGAACTCTTAATGCCAGGGTTAGCCTTAAGCAGCTCAGTGGACCGACGCCCGGGCATTGCCATGGCCAGCCACTGCGTTTCCGCATGGGTTGAAGACGGCAGCAGGTGACTCGCCCTCTCTGTCAGCGGAAGTGAATTAAATCGTAATGCTGTCTGTCAAGTGCCAGGAGGTACATTACCATCTGTCTTAGCCAGGGTGCCCGAGGAGACGTGTGGTTGACGCGTGTTGGCGTAGGGAAGAGGGGGATCGCTGCTGGAGCGTCCGAATGGACGGCTTGTAGTTCAAGCCCGTCCAGCAAGGACTGCCTTCCCGGGCCCGGGGCTATCCTGGGCCAGTGGTGGCCGCGTGCTCGCGGCTCCAGGAGCTGAGCTCACCTGCGTGGTGCCCTGTTACCACGTTGCCTTGATGCCATTCCCCACTGGAGGCTGGAGATCCACACGTCAGCCCCGGGGGGACCTGCTCGGCCGAGGGGAAGGAACACGGGGCCTGCCCCTCACCACTGCTGGTTCCCGTGGCGGCGGGGGTGCAGCGCAGCTCTGGCAGCTGTGGGGGCCTGTGGGGAAGGCGGGAATGTCCCTCCGTGCCTCTGTCCCCTGGGTGGCCAGGCCAGTGATTCCTCGCTCACGTGTTGGGCTTCCAAATCCGAGCTGCCCCAGGGCTGCACAGGAGGAGCGGCAAGTGGTGCGGGGCTGATTGCCCGTGGCTGACTGCTCCTGAGGCTTGTGTCCGTGGGACAGGGACAGGGGTCTATTCCTGCTGTGGCCAGTTGTCCCTGTTCGCTTGGCAATATTCTTGGGCAGCTTTTTCTCGGCTTGTGCTGAGAGCTCCGTGTTCTGACTGTGGTCACCCCAGTTCATGGGAACGGATGGCTTGTGCCCAGGATGGTCTGCAGGACAGACTGGCATTGCAGAAGCAGGCATCTCTGGGAGTGCCAGCAGGCCATGCCAGAGGGCAGTTGGCCGTGGGGGTGGGGCTGTCCCTCTATGCGCCCTGCACCCTGAGGCCTCTCTTGGCCATCCTCCATCTCCTGGTGCCTGCATGTGGTGGACAGCTGTCCTTGCCCTGCCCAGCCCTTGGACACCCTGCACTCCCTGACACTCTGGGAGTCCTGTCACCACCACCCCACCCCTCTGCCCCACGAATTTCCCAGGGATCGTGTGGGCACCTTGGAGTCAGCCTCCAGATCCACCATCCCTGACGGCTGAGGGAGCCTGGCCACGGGCAGCCAGCCAGCGAGCCCTGGCGATTGCTACTGGCTGCTGTACTTCCTTTTATCTGCGATGCGGCATTCTGTTCTAGACAGATGTATATATTTTCTTACTGAACATAGACGCTCCTCACAGCACCCAGAGGCCACCAGCCAGCGGCCTGGGACCACTTGCTCACCGGAGGGCTGCAGGCAACCGGCTTGTGCTCAAACCCTGCCCTCTGCGCTTCTGTCCAGCTGAGGGCACGTCCTTGGAGGACACCCACGGCAGTTATGATGGCTGGCAGGACCCAGTGCGGCCTGGCACACTTGGCTCACTGCCCTGCCTGTTGAGTGGGCGGTGTATGGGACACTCCCTGCCGGGGCCAGAGGTGCAGGAGCCGCCGGGGGGCTGTGAGGTGCAGGCTGGGGCTCCCTGGTGCACTCCCCATCCGTGTGCCCTCGGCAGGTCTGTCCTTGCTCCCCGCACCCTGCCTGCCACCAGCCTCGCGTGGCAGTGTCACTCCTTGACAGGCTGGTTTTCCTTTGGGACCGTCTGTAGTTGCTGACAGAGGACTCGGGAACACTCGCTACTTACCATGTTTTAATTGCCTGTACAGTTCACACCTGTAATTGTATTTAGTAAAGTGTATCAAAAGTAGGACTTTTTGAATTGTAAATATGTGGTTTTATTAAATAAAAGTCATGTAAATTGTTCCTTGGTGTTCTCTGGGCAGTCTGTCACCTCGAAGCTCAGGGAAGGTGTGACTTCAGGGCACAGTTGAGTGTTGTCAAGTCAGAATCTACTTCCTGGGCTTGATGCACACAGTGGCGTGGCTGAATCACAGACACCCTTTCCCAGCCATGCTGTGCCCCTCACCTGCCCACCCCAGCTGTGCCGGCCACTGGGCCAAGGGCTTTTAGCATATACTTAGCCACTTCTGGCAAGCCTGTGAACTGGATCCCAGGGTCTGCTACCCTAGTGGCCAACAGGGGCTCCCCAAGGAGGAACAGACAGTACTGCCCAGAGAGGTGGCTGTGCCAGGAGGTCTGTGAGGCCACGTGGAACCAGGCAGAGCAAGTGCCCATGTGCTAGGGGATGTCTGAGGGCTGGGGTGGCCCTCTCCCGTCTCCTGCAGGCGTCTGAGGGCTGGGGTGGCCCTCTCCCGTCTCCTGCAGGCGTCTGAGGGCTGGGGTGGCCCTCTCCCGTCTCCTGCAGGCGTCTGAGGGCTGGGGTGGCCCTCTCCCGTCTCCTGCAGGCGTCTGAGGGCTGGGGTGGCCCTCTCCCGTCTCCTGCAGGCGTCTGAGGGCTGGGGTGGCCCTCTCCCGTCTCCTGCAGGCGTCTGAGGGCTGGGGTGGCCCTCTCCCGTCTCCTGCAGGCGTCTGAGGGCTGGGGTGGCCCTCTCCCGTCTCCTGCAGGCGTCTGAGGGCTGGGGTGGCCCTCTCCCGTCTCCTGCAGGCGTCTGAGGGCTGGGGTGGCCCTCTCCCGTCTCCTGCAGGCGTCTGAGGGCTGGGGTGGCCCTCTCCCGTCTCCTGCAGGCGTCTGAGGGCTGGGGTGGCCCTCTCCCGTCTCCTGCAGGCGTCTGAGGGCTGGGGTGGCCCTCTCCCGTCTCCTGCAGGCGTCTGAGGGCTGGGGTGGCCCTCTCCCGTCTCCTGCAGGTGTCTGAGGGAGGGGGTGGCCCTCTCCCGTCTCCTGCAGGCGTCTGAGGGCTGGGGTCGGGGAGGTGTGTGCGTGCTGTGCTGCAGTCGCCCTGCTCTTGACAACCCCTAAGGGGAGGTGACAGCCTACAGGGCCAACAGCTGACCAGAGCCTGACTGTGTGGTCATGTGTGCTGGCCAGTGGCTGCAGTGCAGGACTGAGTGCTGGCTATATGTGGGGCTGTATAAGCACCATAGAGAGCCTTGGATTCCCATTGTATCAGCTGACCCTGGCTGCTGGCAGCACCTGCAGATTCCAGCCTCAGGCCTCTGCTTGGAGATGGTCTTGGGGCCCTTGGGAGCCTCACCCACTGGCTCTCACCTCAGCTTCAGGGCAAGGTCTGGGGTACGGCCTGGGTCCCCTGTATGCAGACAGCACCTGCTGGGAACAGCGGCTCCCTAGGAAGGATGCGAACTGGTGGCCAAGCTGGAAGAAGGCTGTCCTTAACCCTGTGTGGGGAAATGTGGATGAGATGGCTGACACCTGCTCCCAGAGCGCCCTGGAAGACACAGGGCCTCTCCTGTGCATGGAGCCACGACAACTTCCCGGAATGCTCCTGCCATGGGCCAGATGTTACAACCCAGGGAATTGTGTGTGACCTTGGAGGCCTGGCGGTACACCATGTCCTGGCCCTGCTGTGGAGCTTCAGGGGCAGCTGGTGGCTGGAGGTTACACATGGGGCCCTGTTCAGGGGCTCAGTGACCCCAGAGCTTCCAGGGAAGGGTGCCCTATGCCTGGAACATCAGCAGCCGCACAGAGACATCGTTCCTGTGCCCTGGACAGGCGGGCTGTCAGCATCTTCTCCCAAGCCCAAACCCAGGATTCTGCCATGAGACACTCAGCGGTGCGTGTTCTGATCTCTTCCTGGAGTCCACAGACACCTCAAAGGTGAAGTACTGGGCCGGCTGGCTCCCCACCAGTGCGCCCAGCAAGCAGCAGATGGCGTGAGTGCCTCTGCCACCCACAGGGGAGACCACAGGAAGTTCTAGGTGCCTGGCTTCAGCTTGGCCCGTCCCTGTCTGTCGTAGCCAGGTGGGGAATGACCCAACAGGTGGAATTCCTTTCTTGCCTTTGCCCTCATTCTGCACTGCCTTTCAAATACATAAATCTTCATAAAGGCATCTCGGGCCTAGGTGACAGCAGACAACTGGGTCACCGTTTCCTTGGTGTTTGCACTGTGGGTGGGGATTGCGAAGGGAACGCTGGCCAACTTGCCTAGGATTCCAAGGAGCTATGCTTTGCGGAACAAAACGGTGTCAGCAGATAGGGTTGGGCAAGTGTAGGGCCCAGTGGGTGCATCAGGGTGCCCCTTCTTGGCCCTGGCTCCAGCTCCCTGCTGACACACACACTGGGCGCAAGCAGGGATGGGCCCTGTCATCTCCATGGAGCCATGCAAGTCATCTCACTCTTGCTCTCCAACTCCCTCCGTTCCCACAACATAAAGCTACTGTCACAACTGACCAGTCGCCGGCACAGGGCGCAGTCTGCACTGTCTCCTGACTCCCAGGTGTGACAGTGAGGGGCTGCCCTGGACCCTCATCTGCATATCTCAGCTCCAAGTCAGTGACCAGTATTGGGGTGTGGCACCCCCTAGCTTGGGCAGTGTCTGGGTTCTGAGTCCCTGCCCTGTTCCCCTTCCAGCTTCCTGATGGCACACAGGTGGGCACAAGGACTTGTGTCATTGCCGCCCACTGGGAAAGCCTGGCAGGCCTGGCTGTGATGGCCCTTTCGGGAGTGACCTGGACGTGAGTCCTTTCCAGCCCGTCCCTTCCCCCGGCCGCCTGCACCGGATGAAGGCAGTGTGCATGTGAACTGTATGTGTTTTTCACATCAGCTCCAGGAAGAAGACAGTTTACATCTGTTACTAACGTGAAGCCTCACGCAGAGCACGAGGGCTGGGTGTCTGGGCTGGCGTGCAGCGTCCCATGAACAGGCTGGTGCTGAAAAGCTAGGGGACAGATGCAAAGCAAACACAAACTGCGCTGTGCCGGGGCCGCCTGCGGTGTCGGGCTCAGGAGGGGAGGAAGGCCCTGGCCTCCCGGATCTTCTGCTTGACGCCCTTGCAGGACAGGAGCAGCCCCGCGTGGTGACGCTTGAGTGCCTCCAGGCGCTGTGTGAGGGCCGCCGTCCTGTCCACCTTGTCCTCCAAGTCCCGCAGCAACGCGTCCTTGCCCAGCAGGCCGCACCTCTGGTTCAGCTTGACGTTGTCCACCCGCAGGCTGTCACGGGCCTGCTTGGTCTTGGTCAGGAGGTCCCTGCCCTGGGCCACCTGTGCCTCGAGCTCCAGCAGCTGCGCCTTCTTGCAGGCGTTCTCGGCGTCAGTGAAGTGCAGCTTCTCCTTCACGTGGCTGAGCACCTGCACGTGCTGGGTCACCTTGTGCTGCAGCTTCAGCAGCTCCTCGTTGCGCTCCTCCACCTTCTCGTTGAAGGTCTGGTTCTCGATCTTGAGCTGCTCGAAGTCGATGAGCAGCAGGCCCTCGGCCAGGCTCTCCTGGGCGCGCATGCGTGTCTCGAAGTGCAGCAGGCTCTGGCGCAGCTGCACGTTCTCCAGGCGCACAGCGCTCATCTCCCGCTCCTTGCGCTCCTCCAGCGCCTGGATCTGCTCCACCTCCCGCAGCGCTGCCTGGCGCCCGCCCCGCAGGCGCCAGCTGCCCATGGCCTGCAGCACCACCTGCTTTTTGAGCGCCTGGAAGCGACGCCACTCCTTGTCCACGCGGGCCAGCTTCTCCTGGCCCTGCAGCTTCAGCTGCTCCAGCTCCTGGTGGTACCACTCCAGGTCGTCCGCCTCCTGCTTGCGCAGCTCCTCCAGCACGGCCAGGTGTCGCAGGTACGCCTGCTCCTTCTCGGCCGCCTCGGCCGCCTGGGCCGCGGCCCGCTCGGGCGCCTCGGCCGCGTCCAGCCCCTTCTTCTTGCGCAGCGCCTCCACGATCTTGTGCTGCAGGTACATGTTGTAGCGCTGGTAGCGGCCGCGCTCCACCAGCAGCGTGTGGTACTGCTCCAGCAGCTCGCTGCGCAGCTGGCGCTCCTGCAGCTGCTGCACCTCCGCCGACCACTCGTAGTCCTCGTAGTGGTAGTCGGGCGGCTCGGCCGGCTGGCTGCTGCGCTTCCGCGCCTCCCTGCTGCCCGGCTGCGGCGCCTCCGGCCCCTTCCTCTCCTCCTGCTCGTCCTCCTCGCCCGCCGCCTCCGCCTGCTCCTCCGGGATGTCCCTCTCGGCCGGCGGGGCTGCGGCTGCCTCGCTGACCGTGGACAGCCTCACGGAGGCCCGGGACGGGGCTCTCCTGTCCTTCTCCCGCGTCTCCTCGTCCTCTTCCTCTCCTTCTTCCTCCTCCTCCTCTTTCTCCTCTTCGTCCTCCTTCTCGGCCTCCTCGGCCTCCTCGGGTTCCCCGGGCCGGGCATCCGATACCCGCTTGGCCACGGACAGCCTGCCCGGCCCCCGGGGCTCCCCCTCACCTAGGGCCTCGGTGATCTCCGGCCCTTCCGGGGCTTCGGCCTGCTCGTCCGCGGCGGCACCTTGCTCCGAAGCCTCGGCCTCCTCTTCGGCCTGCTTCTCCTCATCCTTCGCCTTCTCTTCCTCCGTCTCCGGCCCCGGCTCCGGCTCTGGCCCCGGCTCCGGCCCCGGCTCCGGCTCTGGCCCCGGCTCCGCAGTTTCAGCCGAAGTCTGGGGACCAGAGCCGGCCTCGATGTCGGACGGACGCGAGGCCAGGCCTCCCTCCTCTCCGTCTTCCTCCATGGTGCTCACCCGGCGCTCGGAGCCGCCGTCCATCTCCGACCCACGGGGCCGGGTCGGCGGACCTCGGCAACTGGCTGTTAGGTTTCCCGGGGCAACCAAGGGCGCGCGCGGTGGGCCCGGCGATTGGCCAGGCGCTGGCTTGGCGCCCCGCCCACTCCTTCCCGCCTCCCGCAAGGCGCCGACCAATCGGGAGCCGCCGACGGAGAGACGGACGTCATGGATTGGAAGCGAACGCAGGCTCGCGCCGCGAGGGGCGTGGCGCTCCCGCCTCGCCTCTCACCGCCTGGCCCGGGGCGGGGCGTCGGGGAGGCGCCGCGAGGCGACGGCGGCCGGCGCGCAGGCGCGGAGCGGCGGCCCGGCCCTCCCGCCCCGCCCCGCCCCGCCCCGCCCGGCCGCGCGGGGCGCCTGCGCGGTGCGGCGGGGCGCCGGCTGTGGCGACGGCGGCGGCGGCCGGGCCGGGCCCGGGGGACGCCTGGTGCTGAGGCGGACCGTCCGGCGGGCTGGCTCCGGCGGCGCCTGGGCAGGGGCGGCCGCGGTGGCGGCGGGGGGCGGCGGCGGCTCGGGGGCGGCGGGCCCGGCGCTGACGGCTGGGGGCGCGGCGGGCGGCGAGCGGGCGAAGATGGCGGAGCTTGGTAAGAAGTACTGCGTGTACTGCCTGGCCGAGGTGAGCCCGCTGCGCTTCCGCTGCACCGAGTGCCAGGACATCGAGCTGTGCCCCGAGTGCTTCTCGGCCGGCGCCGAAATCGGCCACCACCGCCGCTACCACGGCTACCAGCTGGTGGACGGCGGGCGCTTCACGCTCTGGGGACCCGAGGCCGAGGGCGGCTGGACCAGCCGGGAGGAGCAGCTGCTGCTGGACGCCATCGAGCAGTTCGGCTTCGGAAACTGGGTGAGCCAGGGCCCCGGCCCGCCCCGGCCCGCGGTCCGCGAGGCGGCGTCGGACGGGCACCCTCCAGGGCCAGCCCGGTGGGGGATGCTCGCGGCCCGCGGGTGGGCGTGACCGGGGCTCCCCAGGCCCGAAGGCACCCAGGTCACGCAGAGCTGCCTCGGCAGGTGTGTCCCGGGTGTGCACCCAGCCCGTGGGACCTCAGCGCTGCTGGCAGCCGGGGAGCCCCGAGGAAGGCGTGGGTGTGCCAGCTCCAGGGTCTGCAGTGAGCAGGTGCCTCGCGGGGCGTGGATGGCGAACCCGGAGCCGGTGCCGGAAGTCCCGCTGATTGCCTTGCAGGCAGAGCCAAGGTGACGGTGAGGGAGCCGTGGGACTCAGCCCTGCCAGCCCTCGGGGAGGCAGGCCCGTCACCCCGGCCTCTTGGACTGGGCAGACGTCCCCGCTCCACTGCGGTCCCTCCGGCCAACCCCTGCTGCCCCGGGACCGCACTGGGACCACACTGCAGCAGCCCCTGGCTTCAGGGCGATCCCATGAGTGCTGGCCTGTGGTCTCCCGCGGGGTCACGTTCTCCCTCCAGGCCTGGTGACCCATGACCGCGCATCCCTAGCAGCACCTCCGGGACCTCCCTCTCCCAATGTCCTTCTCACAGCTCTTAGCTCCACAGTAGTGGCTGGCCTGGTGCTGCTGGATGCCAGGTGCCGCGCCTCCGGGCCCGTGCGAGCCGCCGGCTTGGACCAGCCAGTCTGACTGCAGCCTCTGGGGGCCCTGCAGGGACGGCCTGGGGAGCCAAGCCTGCATGGTGCCGTGGAAGAAATCCGGGCTGCAGGGCAAGGCTTCTCCAGTGTGTACGCCAGTCACCGGGCAGCGTGTCCGAGGGCAGGTGGATGGGGCAGGCCCTGGGGCCGCACTGTGGCTGTTGTGCCCTTGTGGACTGGCTGCCTGACCCCTCTGGGCAGTGTCTGTCCTCAGCCGAAGCTCTGCAGCTTGAGACATGGCTCTCTGGCAGACGCTGGAGTGCACACGTCAGTGGCTCCCAGGGCCGGACCACCTGCAGGCCCTGTGGGCAGCTGAGGCCCGGGGGCCTCTGTGATACTCAGAGTGGCAGCTGTGGTTCAGGATCCCCAGGCTGTGTGGGCCCTCCGTACGTGGCATGAGTGCATCCAGTTGTGTGGCTAGAGCGTGGCCTGATGGGCATGCACGAGGTGCGGGCAGGGGAGGTCAGTGACTTGCTTTCTGCAGGTGTGGCCACGCATCAGAGCTGCCCCTGGCAGGACTTGGGCTGCAGACAGGAAAGAGCACCCGTGGGTGGACAGGGCTCAGCCCGGCCGGGGCTCTCTGGGCTCCTCGCTTCACGGGCCCAGCACCTCCCTGGGGTGCTCGGGTGCACCGCAGAAAGCAGGAAGTCCCCACTGAAAACCTTCCCCTCAGGATAACAGCAGATCCCCCAGAGACAGGAACATGGGAAGTTCAGGGTCACCAGCCCATGCTTTCGTCTGCCCACTCCACCAGGACTGGTACCTGCGGCCCACAGGGCTGGCCTCTGGGCTGCAGCCCTACCAGGATCCTGCCTGCTCCCCCTCTGCTGTATGCCCTTGGTGGCTGGGCCATGTGTCACTGAGGGAGTGTCCTCAGGGCCACTGTGCTGCTGCCTGCTCCCCCTCGGCATGGGCACACATGGCATCTCCCTGCTGGACACGCCATGGCTCTCTGTCTTCTGGGCACGTAACAGGCAGAGCTGCAGGATCCGAGTTGAGGCTTGGCCCCCAAGAAGCCTGCGGTGTGTGTTGCTCAGGTCATCCGAGAACGTGTGGGCACCCTAGGTTTCCCATCTGACAAGGAAGCATGTGGCCAGGCACCCTGTGTCCAGGAAGGACGGCCACACAGCTGCCAGGAGTGCCCGGCCTTGGTCCAGGCGTGCCCGTAATGGCACAGTGTGGCTGTGTCCCTGGTCTCTCTGTGTCACCCCAGGCAGGCTGGTGTGCCAGCCCCTGCCTTGTCAGGTGCCCAGGAATGCCAGCCAGAAGGCCTTGTCATCTGGATCTGAGTGTGAGCCAAAGTGGCAGCAGTGACTTTTCCTGGGAGGTGACAGCAGGACTGATTGGGAGGGCAGGAGCCCATGTGTGTGGTTGGCGTGCAAAGCTGGCAGTGCCAGGAACTCCCCGAAGACCTGTGGTGGCGAGGGCTGGACAGGGCATGCCAGGACCCTGCCTGGTCCCCTGCCTGCCCTGTCATGTGGCCAGAGTTTTATTTCTGTCATTTAGAGCGAAAACTCCTTCCTCTGACTCATTGCCCAGGTGCCCACAGCGACTAAGGCTTGGGAGAGCCAGGTCTCCTGCGTGGTCAGCAGAACCCATCGTGGGCATCTCGCCACTGCCCCGCACCCGCCATGGTCTGCACCAGTGGGAAACTTCTGTCCACAGCTGGGGCTGGGACTCCGCCTTAACCGCTGGCCAGGAACCCACCCCAAGCAGAGCCCATCTCTTTGTAATCCCACTGGGCCTGGAGCTCTGCCCACAGGCGCCCTCCCTCGCTGAGGATGACCCGGGGTGGCATGGAGGGCTGCAGTGCAGTTCCCTGGGGCAGGTGGGAGCAGTGGTGCAGGAGTGCCACTGGTGCATGAAGCCCCTGCAGTTTGTCAGGGTCAGTGTAGGCATGAGGCCCCCGGCCCAGCCACGTTCTGTCAGTGCGACCATGTGACAGGTTCCCTGCCAGACTGCCAGAGTGACATAGCGCTGGCAGGCCTGGTATGGCTTGCTCTGATGAGGTCCTGACCCGTGACTAGGAACCACAGGAGCTCTTGAGTCCTGTGGATGGAGAGGCCATGCCAGGCAGGCAGCAGCCGAGGCCAGGGCGTGGCCACTGACGGAGCCATGGGTGACCAGCACTGGGCCCTGAGGGCTTCGAGCCGCAGCACTGCTGTCACCTCCAGCGCCCCAGAATCCAGACCAGGAGATGGCGGCACAGAGGGGTTAAGTAACTTTTTCATGGTAGAGCCAGGGCCAGGGCCAGAGCAAGAAGCCTGACCTGGCATCTGCCTGGGTAGGAGCAGGGGGCGTTTTGTTCTGGAACTTCCCAGAGGAGCAGGCAGGAGTTGGGACCGATCTCCTGGCACATCTCAGGTGGGGCAGGTGACAGCAGGTCTGGGGTTGACGGGGTCTGGGGAGCTTGCCGTGTGCACACGGCTGAAGCAGTCCCTCCTCCCAGCTGCGACTAGGGTCGGGGCAGCTGTTCAAGACAGGGCTGAGCTCACCCCAGGCTCCCATCCCATACAGCCCCTTCCTTCCCCCCAGGGCTGCTGAGAACAGAGAACAGCAGCCCCCTCCCCACCGACCTCTCTCTGCTGTTTGCCTGGCACGCCGAGGCCAGAGACGGGTGGTGACGGTGGCACAGCGTGGCCCTGGCTCTTGTCCCGTAGGGGCCCCAGTGCTTCCTGAAGTGTGGCTCTAGGGAGCAGGATGGGTCTAGACTCCAGCCTGCAGGTTCCCCCAGCTGCAGCCTTCATTCCATCCCGCCCTCCAGGCACACGCACGAGGCCCCAAGACTGGAGGGCTGGGGCGCATGTCCCCCTGGAAGGCTGAGACTGGGGTTGGGGACAAAGCCGTGGACACCTCCCCACAGGTGGCTGATGGCCGGGATGGGCCAGCTGCTTCCTCCTGGGGGCGCCGAACCTGTTCCCCAGCCACATGAGGGCTGTTCAGACTGCCCAGTGAGGCCCACGGGCGGCTGGGAAATGAACGAGCAGTCGGCAGTGAGTCTGAAGTGGCTTTAGCGGTCGGCGCTGAGGAAGAGGCCTCTTGGCAGAAGGAAAAGATGAGGGGGTTGTACGGTTTCCTCCCGTTAAGGGGCTGGCCGTTCAGGGGTTCCCTTCTCGGGGCCCTGGTGAATGCGTCAGCCGCTGTGGCAAGCTCTCAGCTTGTTCTCGAGCAGCCGGTGCGGGGACAGACTGGCCTGCCCACGGCGGGTCCCCTGTGTCACCGGCCTTGTCTGGAGGCTCGCTCTCCTCTGGGTCCTGGGACACTCAGCCAGGACTTCCCGCTGCAGAAATAAGAACAGAGTAAGGCCTGAAGCAGGCCCGGCCCTGGCTCAGCCTCCGGCTCAGCCGTGACCTTGGCCCCCCGTGCCCTGTGTCCCGTGCGGCTGAGGCCGAGGGCCCAGGCTCCCGGTGCCGGCGCCACAGCCTGGGCTCACCCGGCGCCATGTGTTGCAGGAGGACATGGCTGCGCACGTGGGCGCGTCCCGGACCCCGCAGGAGGTGATGGAGCACTACGTGAGCATGTACATCCACGGCAACCTGGGCAAGGCCTGCATCCCCGACACCATCCCCAACCGCGTGACGGACCACACGTGCCCGAGCGGAGGCCCGCTCTCGCCCAGCCTCACCACGCCGCTGCCCCCGCTGGACATCTCCGTGGCCGAGCAGCAGCAGCTGGGCTACATGCCGCTGCGCGACGACTACGAGATCGAGTACGACCAGGACGCCGAGACGCTCATCAGCGGGCTGTCGGTCAACTACGACGACGACGACGTGGAGATCGAGCTGAAGCGCGCGCACGTGGACATGTACGTGCGCAAGCTCAGGGAGCGGCAGCGGCGCAAGAACATCGCCCGCGACTACAACCTGGTGCCCGCCTTCCTGGGCAGGGAGAGGAAGGAGAAGGAGAAGGCGCTGAGGCGCAAGGTCAGCAAGGAGGAGAAGGAGCTGCGGCTCAAGCTGCGGCCGCTCTACCAGTTCATGTCCTGCAAGGAGTTCGACGACCTGTTCGAGAACATGCACAAGGAGAAGGTGCTGCGGGCCAAGATCCGCGAGCTGCAGCGCTACCGGCGCAACGGCATCACCAAGATGGAGGAGTCGGCCGAGTACGAGGCGGCGCGGCACAAGCGGGAGAAGCGGAAGGAGAACAAGAGCCTGGCGGGCTCCAAGCGGGGCAAGGAGGACGGCAAGGACGGCGAGTTCGCGGCCATTGAGAACCTGCCGGGCTTCGAGCTGCTGTCAGACCGCGAGAAGCTGCTGTGCAGCTCGCTCAACCTCAGCCCCGCACGCTACGTGACCGTCAAGACCATCATCATCAGGGACCACCTGCAGAAGCGCCAGGGCATCCCCTCCAAGAGCCGCCTGCCCAGCTACCTGGACAAGGTCCTCAAGAAAAGGATTTTGAACTTCCTCACAGAGAGCGGTTGGATATCCAGGGACACCGCCTGAAGCTGCCCTCCTGACGCAGGCCCTGGGTCCCAGGGAATAGTGTAAGACTGGCACATTGCCTTTTACTTGGTGAGTTTTCTTCCCTTTGGGTACAAAGACTGCTGCACTATGGGTAACAGGAGCCCAGCGTTCCTGCTGGACAGCGAGCCACTAGCTCTGTTGGTGCCACAAGCTTTCCTTGGGTGTGGTGCCCGCAGGGTCCCTCTGCCCGAGTGCGGTGCTGGGCACAAGCACTTTACAGGGAGGCGGCCGCAGCTGAGGAGAGCACAGGAGCACATTTCCGCGGGAGCCTGCTGGACACAGCAGCCGCCAGCTTCCATCTGACTGTTGGCCACACTCGTGTGTGGCCCTGCTCCTGTACACACAAGGCATGGCAGTAGGGGGCGCAGGGGGCGCCAGCACCGCCCACCCGCTCTGTCTCCGGCTGTTGAATGCAAGGCTGGGAGCTCCAGGTCCGGGCACCAGCTGCCTCGGGTCCCGCAGCTCGCAGCACTGCAAGCGGGGCACTGCCTGGCCAGCTCAGCTTCCAGCTCATACCGGCTTTATGCTTACAGGCCAGCACCCCACTCCCCTCCTCCGTCCCGAGTACGCCCGCTGGGCCCCTGCCCTGCCTGCCCACGCCTGCCCTGGTTCCTGTCAGAGGATGTGCACGGTACCTCCCGTCTGCAACTCGAGGCAGTCATTTGTCTTCCGGCCCCTCTGGGCCCCTGCCCCACAGCCTGTGGCGAGCCCTGCTGGCCCTCCCGCACCGGGGCACCCCAGGCCTCCTGCTCCCGAGCTTCTCCCTTGGGTTCAGCAGCCTGGGGGCAAACATACACCTCAACTCCAAGGACAACTTGGGTACGGTGCCTTTCCCTTCCTTACACCCTGTCCCCCAGGGGCAACTCTCAGCATTAAATAAAAACATTAAAGAGGTCTTGGACACGGGTGTAGCTGTCAGTGACGCTGCATGCTGGCATCACATGGTTCAGAACCGTGATACCAGGAACATGCCAGGCAGGGATGGAGGTGGCACCTAGCTCGTAGTTCTCAGTGTGGGGTTCCTGGACAGTTTGGTGTGACTGGGGACCCCCCAGCACTGCCGGCCCCTTGGTTCTTGGGTGGAAGTTTTGGGGTGGGGCCCACAGACCTGAGCACCAGGGGTCCCCTTCACTGGCTGCTGCAGCATAGGCTGGGTGGTGGGGCCCTGGCACAGGTGGGCCTGGCTGTGTGTGTTGGTGTGACATGAAAAACTGATTTGGCTTGACTGTTTGCACACCACAATGAATGTATCATTAATTTATGTTCTGTACTGACAAGTTCAAGGGTAAGCGTGAAAGAATGGGTAGTCCTAGGCTATCCGCTGGCTGCCAGCTCGGGACTCCTGGTCTTCCACTTCATGGTCCTGGCAAACACACAGCACTGGGTAGACCACATGGTTCCTTCTGCTTTCCCAACTCGCGCCCTGTGGTGGCTGACATCCCAAGAATATGTGGACACTGAGGTGCTGGCAAGCGTTTTTATTCCCCTTTTACACATTAAAGGAGTTGAGAATAAAGTGTCGGTGCTTGCTTCTTCCCGCCGGAGTCCTCAGGCCCCACATCTTAGAGCAGTGGGGAGCTGGGGTCTGGGGCCTCTTCACGCAGCTCCTCCCCAGGCAGGCAGTGCATGGGCAGCCAGACCTGGCCCCCTGGCCCCCACTACTTACAGGAGGTCTACTGTAGCTGGTGCTGTGGCCGCCTCAGCCCTTGCCTGGGGGCCCAGCTTGCCGCCACACACAAGGAGAGTACGGTTGCCGAGCATGGTGACACAGGCGGGGCTGGGGGAAGGTGTGACTGAAGCTGGGATGGGCTGCCCGTGGAGACCCCAAATCCAGATGTTCAAACTTCCTGGGAAACACACGCCCTGCACATGCCTTGTGCCACCTGCCACAGAGATACAGGAGGCAGTGGAGGGAATGCAGGTGGGGTGCCCTCAGTTGAGGCAGCGATGACCCTGCCACTGGGACAGAGGCGGCAGCCCAGCCTGCTGCCTCCAGGCCTGGGGCGAGCTGCTGGGCTAGCTGGAAGAACAGTGTGAACAGTGGGCCGCAGTGCACCTTGCATGCTGTACCTCACAGGGTGAACCAATGAAGCCCAGCTGCCAGACACCACCTGCCACTGCCAGAGCAAGGCCATTTTGCCTTGACCCAGAGCTGATCGCTCATCCTTCTGAAGACCCAGGTTCGCCAAGGGGCCAGGTCCAACAGCTCCAGAGCCCATGTCCAAGGGCCCAATGGCCACTGTTGCTACAGCTCGGCGTGCCTGGGGCTTTGAGGTCATGTATCTCCCTGGACCAGCAGAGCCTGTGCTGGCAGAGCTGCTGGCTCTGCTATGGTCAGCTGTCCTGTGTCGGAGGCCCTGAGGCTTCCAGGCCAGGAAGAAACCACATCCCTGGGCTCCCAGCACCCCAGGCACATGGCCTCGGCTCTTGAGGCCACCTGACCAGATGGAACCACTCCTACAATCCGATGAGCAGAACAGGAATTCTGGCAAACTCGACAATGGGCAAAACCAGGGTGTGAGAATGGGCAAGGGACACTGCTGGCCTGGGGCTTAGCCTCCCCAGGGCCCCGTGACCGCGCAGTGACGAACGCAGGAGCGGCGCCACGCAGAGAGCGGACACGCGGACGGTGCGGCCAGGGTCCACAGCGAGCTCCTGAGCCCTTTTATTGGGGCTGTCTGGTCTGAGCAGCTACAGCTGGATCCCACCAGCCCTCACCTAGTGAGCAGATGCGGGGCCCCAAGTCCATGAACAGCCCGGCTGCTCCACTGGCTTCGTCTCCAGCAGGGCCAAAGTCACTGAAGCTTTCCAGCCGGGGTGGGGAAGGTCAGGTGCATCCACGGGCGGGACCAGACGGCCCAGGCTTCAGTGGGCTCAGAATCCGGGTGCGGCTACGCCTCCTTCACCACCCCCACCAGGGCGGGCCGTAAGGTGCGCCCATGAAGCTTGTAGCCCACCTTGCTCACCAGTGCCACCGTGCCCGCCTCTTTACCCTCCACCGGCGTGTGGAACAAGGCCTCGTGCTCATAAGGGTCGAACTTGGCCCCCACGGGGTCGAGCCGCAGCAGGCCGTGCTTGGCGAACACTTTCTGAATCTGGACCTCGGTCATGACCAGCCCCTCGTACAGGCTCTTGAGGTGTGGGTTGTCGTCCCGCACCTCCTCCCGCGGGACGCTCTGCGTGGCCTTCTCCAGGATGTCGGCCACCTCCAGCAGGTCCTTGCAGAAGCCCTGGATGCCTGTGTGGAGGGAGAGCAGTGTGCCCCAGGCTGCCTGCGCGGGCACGGGCTGGCACTGTGGACCGAGAGCAGAGCCGGGAGCACAGGTGGCAGGGAGAGTGCTTCATGACCCCGAGGACGCAGTCACAGCCACACGGTGCAGCACTGGGACAGTGACCCGCCAGGGCTCAGGACCGGCGCCCATATACACAGGGGAGGGTAGTGACGGTGCCAGCTCCTAGCCACCTGCGCCCAGGGCCTGCTAGCCACACTGACCGTATAACTTGGCCTCCTCCACCAACTTCTGGCTCCTCTGCCTCAAGTTCTCTGTGTCGGCCAGTGCGCGCTTGTACTTCTCCTGCAGACAGAGGGAGTAGAGGGGCTGGGAGTCACAGGGGGCTGGGAGCTCAGCCAGCCAGGCTGTAGCGGGGCTGCGTCGCCCCGGCCAAGCCTCCCCCGCGTGCATCCCCCTTCCTGTGCCCACGGCTCGAGCCTGGGATCTCAGAGGAGCACGGACACGGGGCAGAGCGGAGACCTGGAGCCTGTTTCCTGTGGTGGCCGCCTGCCCAGTTCCCCGAGCCTGGGACTCCGACCACTGCAGTTCTACCACCCGGGGCACGCTCACCTGCCCTGCCCCTTGAGGCACCTGTTTGTTCATCTTTCAGCAGGGCTCTTCCCCACCCCCACGCCTTCGCAAGGCCAGCAGGGCAGCCCGGGCCTCACCGTGGTCTCCCTCAGCTGCTCCTCCAGCCTGACTTTCTCCTCCCGCAGGCTCTTCTCGGCCGCCGCCGGCTCGCCCTTGGACTCCCCAGGCCCCGCGTCCTCCTCCAGGCTCGGGCCGCTGTTCTTCTGCCTGGCAGCCGTGCACAGCAGCCGGGGCGACGACCTGCGGCACAGCTCGTCAGGGTCGGGGGGCCCAAGCTGACGGTGGCGCAACCAAGACCACCTGCCCGCAACGCGCGGGGGTCCTCCCGGCTGCTGCAACCCAACGCAGCCCACGCCCGGACCGGCCACGGGCCCCGCTCGGCGCAGCGCACCCGCTCCTCCTCCCGCACATGGCAGAGCCTGGCCGCTCGCCCGCTGCCCACCCCGCGGACCACGATGCCGACGCGGGGAGCGCGGCGGTCACTTCTGGCTGTCAACCTCACCGCGGCCGCCGAGGGGGGACCCGGGCCCCCGGCCCAGCCGCGCAGCCAGCGCGAGCCCCGCCGCTCGTTCGGCCTCCGACTCGGCAGCAGGGCAGAGAACTCGCGGCCGGGCGGGGACAGTCCTGGGGGCCGGCCCCCGCGGCCCCGTCCCTCCGCCCCGCGGCCCGGCCGGACCTCGCACCCCGATGCCGCCTCGGGACTCGCTCTGCCCGGAGCCTGAGGCTGGCCCGGGAAAGGCCACCCGGAGCAGAGGCGGCGCTGAGGAGCCGCACTCCCTCCCCGGGCCAGGAAAACCCGGCGCCCCTCACCTGAGGGACAACGCCAAAGCCGGCAGACCGCGCCGCGCCAGCCTCACACACCGGGCCGCCATGACCGCCACTGCCCGTGCCGAGACTGCGTAGGCACTGGGCCTGCGCGCGGACGCTGGCCCGACTTCCCCGCCCCGCCACTTCTTGTCAGCCAATCGCACTCCGCTGGTTCTGTGATGGACAGACAAGATCACCAATACGGGCAGAGCATGGTGGGCGGGCCCTGAGGCCTCCGGGAGCTCCCGAAGGTGAGGAGGTGAAAGGTAAAGGAAGTCGAGGAAGAGGGAGAGCCAATGAGGAGCGAGCATGCGGGGGCGGGGAGCCGGAAGCGACCCTGGCTGGGGTGGGCGGCGAGTGCTCGCGGCTCCGGGTGACATCCGTGGCGGAGCGGGAAGGGTCGGTCCCCCCACGGACGGAACGTGGCGGGAAGCACGCGGGCGAGCGGAGGCAGCGGGCCCAGCCCGGGGCTGCCCGAGAGCGGGAGGCCCAGGGCTCCCCACGCTCGAGGACGGCATGTCCCCGGTCCGAGGGCGCACGGGCACCCACCTGCTGGAGCGAGTCCTGCCTGACGCCCCTCGGCGGCTGCCGGGCCCGCCGTCTGCGCCCGCGTCCAGCAGAGGGCTGGGCAGCCGGTGCCCGTGCGCTCTGAACCGCACAGGGCGCCGTCGGGGACGGGAGCGGCACCAGAAGGGTCGCAGGCCTGACAGCTGAAGTGGCCAGCTAGTGGACACGTCAGAATCTGCCGCGCTGCCTCGTGGGATCGGGTGTGGCCCCCAGGAGAGCCGCTTAAAACCAAGGCCTGGGCAAATCTGCACTGCCTTTTAAATGTTTTTAAATAAGTGATATCTTTATTTTTATTTGAAAGGCAGATATACAGACAGAAAGATCTTCCATCTGTTGATTCTCTCCCCAGATGGCTGCAACTGCCAGAACTGGGCCGGTGCATAGCCAGGAGCCAGGAGCTTCCTCCGGGTCTCTCTCCCAGGGACAGGGCCCTACCCAAGGTTTGGATTCCCGTTAGCATCGGCTGTGCCTGGGACAGCTGGATGGCCACAGCGTCCAGCGGTTGCTACCCTGACATTCTCACCGCCAATTGGCAGGGGGAGCCAGGGCTGCAGGTGAGCATCGAGGCTTCCAGCTGGCAGCGCCCACCAGGGTCCATGCTGAGCCTGCCGCCAGGGAGGGCTGCACATCTGTGTGTAAAAATGGTGTTATCTTATCTTATTCCCACGTTCTAGAATTGCCTGCATGTCGGCTATGTCCACTGGCAAGTCCTTCCTGGATTGGCACCTGTCAGTTACCTGACCAATTTCCCATTGAGAAACTGAGTGTTTTTCTGCCGTGGAAATCCGATTTCTGGTTCTACTCACTCCTCCTGTCCCTAGAGTGAGCGTCGGCGTCAGCTGCTTAGCGTCTCGGAGTGTTAGGATCAGGGGAGAGGGGCCCTGGCACTGTCGTGATGCCAGGCTGCCTATTCCAGATTCTGGCTGTGGCTTTCTGGGGATGCCTAGGGGCAAGGCCGTTGTCGTGGGGACCTTCCAGGCTGCTGAAGGGCTGTGGCTGTTGCACAAGCTGCCCGTCACCTCCTTGCTGGCAGCCCTCCCCTCCGACACCTGTGCCCACTGGGTGCCTGTCTGTGTGTCGGTGCCCCTTGTGGCTGCATGGTTGCTGCTTGCAGCCTGTAGACAGACTGCCAAGGCCCCAGACTCATGTGAACTCACTGCAGCTTCTGGGTTAGTGTTGGTCTGCGCACTCGGCCTTGACCTCATCATGACCCCCTTTATGTCACACTGCACTGGTCTGCCCCACATTGCACTCGCCTGGCTTACTTGGGGTGGGGAACCCCCTTGGGCTGGAGGGGACGCCTTGCCAACCTCATGTGGCACTTACTGCAGCCTCCCAGCAACGACACTTTGTTCAAAGTGTGTTCAGCCCACCTGTCTTGTGCCATCCACAGCCATGGGGCAGCCCTTGGGCTGGTCCTTTGAGCTGGTCGCTTGCTCTCTCTTTCCAGATTTGTGTACTGATTTGAAGGCTGTGCCCCACATCCCCTTACACTCTCTAGGTGGTGTCTTTGATGAAAGGCGTTCCCAGGCCAAGGGCACCAGGCTGCAGACGCACCCCTTCCCCACCTCCCCGTCCCAGCAGCCTCACGGTTTCCGGCACTGTCCATGCTGGGGTGTGCAGTGGGAGGTAGGGGCTGGGAGCGGCCTGCCATGGGGGCATCCAGGTCACGCAGACTGGAGGATCTAAATGATCAGCCCCCCCCCACGGGCTGCCTTTGGGGGTTTGTAATGTGAAGGTGGCTGCTTGTCTGTTGGTTACACCTGGGCAACCAGTGACACGGAGATGGACGCCGGGCGGAGGTGCCAGGCCCAGGAAACCCTCATTTCCCCGAGGTGAGCAGGGCTGAGGTCCTCTGGTTACTGGGAGTTGTGTGTCTGATGTGGTTCAACCCAGAACAGCCCACTCCCCAAATCCATGTCCTTCCCCTGCACCCCTCCACATCCACCCGGACCCCAAGCCTAACCCAGTGCCATCAGCTCGAATCCCTGCAACTCTACCGGAGCCTCGTGTGGAGCAGACAGTGGGGGTCCAAGCCCGTGTCTGCTGCACCTCCTGTTGGTGCAAATGCAAGCAGATGCGCCTTCCCTCGCACTCTGTGACCAAGGCCTAGGATGCCCCCCTCCATTGGCTGCTGCTGTAGGGACTCTGCAGAAGGCACCCCGGGCGGAGATGCTGATCCAGGAGCGTCCTGCAGCCCAGGTCACTTCTCAGGGCTGGTGCCGCAGGAAGGGGCCTGCACAGAGGCCCTGGCGCCCTGGCCAGTGAGCTGGACTCCGGCCTGGTTGGTCTGCGACTAGCACAAATGACTGGACTTCTCCATCCGTGGGGGGAGGAATTCGCTGCATGCCTTGGGCTGTTGTCCGTCAGCAGCTGTGCCTGCTCTGGGTGGATCCGTGTCGGCTGGGCTTTAGAGGCCACACCTGGCTGTGGGAGGGGCAGGGCCTGCTGACCGTGGTCCCACCTGCTTACGACCCAAGGTTCCCTGCTCCTGCCCAGTACCTGCAGCACCTGTCCCTGGGTAGTCCCTACAGGGGTCAGCCCCAGGGCCCCTGGGCTGGTTTACAGAAAGCAGCATGGAAGCCACCAAGCCAGGCAAGTATTCACCTTTCATGTTCTCTCCTCCTTTGGTCCTCACCCTTGGGAGAATGTGTGCTCTCAACCTTGACCTTACGGAGGGATTTGACCTCGGGCAAAACAGGCCGCCACAGCGGTGCCTGGACGTAGGCGTCACCAGTTGTCCCGTTCCTGGCCACCTCCCCGACCTAGCCCCAGATGGCCTCCCTCAGGTTGTCCATGGTGTGGCCCACCCTGTCTGCCCCCAAAGCGGTCCTTGGTGGGCCTAGCGGTTCCCGGAACTCGGGCTGGCGTTTGTTGTCCGTCAGGAGCTGAGCTCTGTGTCCGGCTCATGCTCCCTGCACCAGGGTTCATTGGCGCTGTTGTGTCCCCAGGTGCGGGACCCAGCAGGTGCGGGTGTTGACAGCCGGGGGCAGGAGAAGAGGAAGGAACTCGAGGCACCACCCGTGGCTGCAGGGTTTCTGCTGGCACACACATAGCAGGGGTGCTGCCTCACAGCTTGCTGTCCTTGAGCAGGAACAGCCAGGGGAGGGATGCAGGCGGGGCTCACCGATGCTCCCGGAGGGGTTTCTGCCACACATACCCCTGACCTGGGTCCCAAGGCCATTGGCAGCACCAGTCTGCTTCGGATGAGGGTATCACGTGCCCTGGACTTCTTGCTGAGGAGAGGGCAGGTCCTGGGCACGAGGAGGGAGATGAGCGACTGGAGGTAGATGCAGCTTGGGTGGGCACCACCGAGAACCGGCAAAGCTTGGGGCACTGGGGCAGGGCAGGGGGATGTGTTAACGCAGGGGCTGCCTTCCGGAGGGCTGGAGGGAGGAGGCGCTGGCTCCTGTCCCCACATGTTTGACTGCCTCCACCAGCAGATGCCACCTTGCAGAGCTGGAGAGAGAAGGGGCCGGCTCCCATCCCCACATGCGTGACTGCCTCTACCAGCACCTGTGCCGGTGGACGTTGGGCCTGGGGCAGCCGAGAACAGAGCTGACTGCCCGGCCACATACCACCAAGGTGCTTACAAGGGGAGATCAGCCAGTTAAGCTGTTACAGCAAGTCCAACAGCCAGACTTGGAACCAGAGCTCATGTGGGATTCTGTTGCAGGCAGTGGCTTAATCCGCTGGCCATGAGCAGGCTAACTTGCTTTTGTGTGGCCAAGTGGATAGGATGAAATCTGAAAAAAATGAAGCCAGAAGAATGACAGTGTTGATGTGTGTCCCCTGTTCCCGGGAGCCCAGGACATACTGTTGCTGTCAACAACATCGGGACATGCCATGCGGACTGGCTCCCACGCAGCTAAGGTGTGGCCCCCAGCCATGGTGGGCAGCGGGGCCAGAAGGGCCATGGACCACATATGGCAGTGTTGCTGGCACTGAGGAGGCCCAGCATGCTCTAGGCCCTGAAACACAAGGCAGGACGTGAGCATGGACAGTGAGATGGGTAGGAGAGAAGGAGCAGCGGGGAGGGGAGGGGACGCGTGGGAGTTGGGGAATGGCAGAGGTGACGTGGGCGCAGGTGAAGCAATGTGGGGTGGTGGGTGATGACACGGAGCTGAGGAGGGGGTGACGTGGGGGCAGTGTAGACAATGCGGAGCTGCTGGGGCTCAGGGAGGACGTGGTGAGCTGGCCATGAGCTCCTGGTGCCCGCTGCGGGTGGCACCACTGCTGCCTGTCCCTGCTCAGTCTGACCTTCCACCAAGTCCCAGGGACCTGACCCAGAGAGCTGCGCCTCGGGGCGAGGAAGCCCACCTGGCCAAAGCTCAGTCTAGGGCGTCCTGGCCATGGCCGGAGCTTCCTGCTGCCCGTCACTCAGACCCAGCCTGTGGCTCAGAGCCCCAGGAGTCTTGCAGCCAACTAACATCTCTAAATGGGGGTTCACTCTGCACCCTGCTCAGCTTCTATGCTCCTGAGAACCTGTCTCTTCTCTGCTCCCCAAGCCC